AGTAAAGGTTGATCGAATATCATGTCCGAATAAAGCAAACTTAACGTTCATTTCAAGTACTTCTGCATTTTCTATTGCTCGGTCTGATAGCATTCTGATCATATAAAAATTATATTTCTTGTTCGAGTGTCTTGGAAAACGGCACACTCTATAGCTCCCATTTCCGGCTGAAATCTGCCGAGAGCTCTGACCTTCATAAGCCTAATTATAATAATAGCTTTTTAGAGCTTTTACTGCTTAATTAATATTTTAAAGAATGCAACACTCAAAAGCTTATGTGTTATATACGAAGACTGCAGTTCGAATACAGATAACCAGAGTGTAAACACAAGCGATCCTATTTTGAATAAGTAGATCACGTGATGGTATAGGAAATATATACATGGGAATTAGCGTGGTATCTAATAGATCAAAATTTCTATTCTATCCTCTATTATTACACGGATCAATCTTTCTACACTATCCTCTATCTCTATACCAACTATACTATTTATCTGTACTGATCACTATACCGGTTACTATTCGGTGGTTACTATTCGAGCGACTATTATCGAACAAGTTCTATTAGTGCGAGTGATATTCGAAGGCGTCTGACACCAGCATTGTTCAACGGCGTTACTATAGTTGTACCTGCGATTACAAAGACTCTACTGCAACGAGCATTATGAAAGTGACAACGAATATTCGTTGACATTGCAAAATTGGAACGAGTGTTTGTTGACATCACAAAATTATGATATTCTATGGCATGATTATAGCATGATAGTCCGAAAATATAATTTAATAAGCACACTTTACACTCACTTTGCCTTCCGTTAAGATGGGATCTAATATATCAATTTGTCTCCAATCTTAGCAATAAAAACATTCTTCTGATCTTATGACATAAGTACCATTCAGACATTCTCCAAATACTGCTGCCACATATTGGCCTGATGCTCCTGCTATATGTTTAGAGATTCTTGATAAAATGCAAAGAAAAATCGGCTATATTATTGGTCCTGACCTGGCATCTCGGCTTCAATCAATTACCCACCGCCGTAATGTAGCTTCCCTGTACATTTTCTATAAATACTTTCATTGTAATTGTTCGGATGAGCTATACTCTGTCGTCCGGGTATGATGATAAACTACATCCGCGTCCTGGGTAAGACGATAAACTACATCCGCGTCCCGGGTATGACGATAAATTCATCCGCGTCCTTGGTAAGACGATAAACTACATCCACGTCCTTGGTAAGACGATAAACTACATCCGCATCCTGGGTAAGACGATAAACTACATGCGCGTCCTGGGTAAGACGATAAACTACATCCGCATCCTGGGTAAGACGATAAACTACATCCAACAGCCAGGCCTCTAATCAGAAGTTTTGAGGAGCATGGAACCACCTCTTAATTACTGGTGTTCCCAGGTCCACCCCAACCACCGGTAGGGTTCCACATATGGGCAAATAGTTAACAACCGAACTGGGGTCAAAACACTATGAATATGTAAAAATACGTTTTAATACCAGCAATACATTTTTGTAAAAAATTATTACCAGCAATACATTTTTGAAAAAAAAATATTACCAGCAATACATTTGTGTAGGAAAAATATTACCAGCAATATATATTTTTTTTTTTAAATATTACCAGAAACAGATTTTTGTAAAAATATATATTACTAGCAATAGATTTTTGTAAAAAAATATATAACTAACAATACATTTTTGAAAAAAAAAAAAATTACCAGCAATACATTTTTGAAGGAAAAATAATTACCAGCAATATATTTTTAAAGGAAAAATAATTACCAGCTATACATTTTTGAAGAAAAAATTATTACCAGTAATAAATTTTTGGGAAAAAAATATTACCAGCAATACAGTTTTAAAAAAATACTACCAACAATAAAAATTTTGTCGGCATTAAATAACACATTAAGGTTGATATACCGTAAACCAAGCCAAACCAAACCAAACCAAAGCAAACCAAACCAAACCAAATCAAACCAAACCAAATCAAACCAAGCTATGATCTGCGCTACCTAGACTTTATAAATTTAAGCGAGGTACTAGATTGTCAACGAGTTTTCATCTATATACCGTTAAGTCGGCTAGATAAAACCGTAAGTTCTATACCAGCAGTTTCTTCTCTCTCTTGTAGGACTCATTTCCGGCTTCTTGCTTTCCAGTCAAGTTTGATCCTTAAAAGTTTCAATACAATGTCAATCGTTATCTTCTGTCCTCTTAATTCTTGTTGTTTCGTTTTCTCCCTCCTTAATAATGTGTTTCTTTCTTTCATATTCTCCTCAGTAACCCCCTTGCGTCTTAGTGGCTTTATTGTCTTGCTCGTAAATAAATTATTTTTAAAAAGAAGTTATATCTGCTTCTGCTGATGTAGTCGTTATCTAATGTCTTCTCGATTCCGCTTCTTTTATTGATCCCGCTCCTTAATAATGTTTTTCTTATTATTCTTTCACACCCAGTAACCTCTTGTATCTTAGTGACTTTATTGCCTTGAATACTTTTGCCATATATGGACTGGTGTCCCCGCTGTTGATCTTGAGGTTCTCGACAAAATCCAAAGACGGATACTCAGTGTAATCGGTCTTGACTTGGCATCTCGACTCCAGTCACTTTCTCGTGATGTGACTTTCTTTTCTACAAATATTTCCATGGCAAGTGCTCTGACAAACTATTTTCACTAATGCCTCGACTACATGAATTTAAGCGTGCTACTAAGTTGGCATCTAAGTCCCAGCCTTTTGCTGTCTAAACAGTTAAATGTAAACCCCTCTTCTACTCCAGCAAGACAGTTTTGTGGCTTAGCATATGTACGGATTCCTTAAGTTTACGAATTTTTCAATGATGTTCTTTGTCTGTGATTTCAACCTGATCCTACAGAGGGCTGTAATCTCCCTTTTCTCTCCATACAGGGTCAGCCACGCCTGATTTTTCCTCTTCCTTTCTGTTACATCTTTTTGGTGTTCTTGAAGCCTTACCTTAAGGGGGAAGCCTGTCTCCCATTTATATTTCTTTCCGCAGCTGAACGGGATGGCGTACACACAGTCATTCATTATTTCTTCCTCTATGGGGGGGGGTCTTACTCGGGAGAGATATCTGCGAAGTGTCATCCATCTTTTTTTTTTTTAAGGTTGCCCTGATGTTATATCAAGTTTTTACATAAATTTGATGCCGAAAACCTTTTATATATAGTTGATAAAACAGACATCCCTTTTTTTTGCTCATTATTATTATGATGTTTTTTATTTGCTAGACTTAACAGTTACTTTAAACAGCGGTTGCTAGAGACATCAGGTTGTGACAGATATGTTGCATTGGAACTTTTTGCCATTAGCTTTTCATATTTGAGTTTGTGCATGAATTATCGAGTTGACATATTTCAGAATTTGTTGCTATAAGCTGATTTACCCAATGGGCGACGAGGCACGCCTGCCCGTGGCAAGAGGTAGATGCTTACTGATTAGGGTGTCTGCTATCAGTGATTATCAGAAATTTGTTTGTTTCATTGCGCGGTAAAACACACTAAAATAAACAAGAGGGAAAATATATTAGCTGCAGAGAAAGAATAATTAAATGTGTTTTAATTCAAGCAATGCAGCTGTTGGAAAAAAAAACATTTTCCATAAAGACAATCGTATATATACAGTGTAACCCGGATATAAGAGACCCGGGTATAAGAGAAACCCGGATATAAGAGATATTTTCTCTGGTTCCAAATTAGAGCCTGTGTTAATGTATATAAAATAGACCAAACCCGGATATAAGAGAAACCCGGAGATAAGAGACTTCTTCTCCGGTCCCGACAACTCTCTTATATCCAGGTAACACTGTATATAATTGAACACAAACGCCTGCGCGCGCACACACACACACACATACACACACACACACACACACATATATATATATATATATATATATATATATATATATATATATTATATTTTATGTTTATATATATATATATATATTATATATATATATATATATATATATATATATATATATATATATATATATATATATATATATATGTTCTTTTATATTTAAGTAAATGCTCTATTTATAATAATATTACTAAGTATTAACGACATTTACCGGCCTGGGTGTCTGAGAAATTTTCATAGAAAATATGCGTCCTCCCACAGGAATCGAAACTGCACCCTATACGGAACGGATTAGAAAATCTGTTGGTTAATATGTAAGTATTTTGTTATTGTTTTGAAATTCTTTATCAAATTTATATACATTTTCCTAATTGTCCCTTAATTAATCTTTTGTTGGATTTAATTCATATTTTCGAATCATACATACATACATACACAGATACACACACACACGTGTTTTATACTACAAATATGCTGAGCAAACCCTAGTTGCAGTTTCTGGGAGAGAAGGAGAGAAGCGTGTTATTTACATGATTAACACTCTGAGCAAGGACGGACGTTGCCGGGTGATAAGAAAGTTCGCGTTTTGACCATGAGACCGCGTGCTTCAATCACGGCTCCCAGTTGAATCTCTTGCAGCTCTACGGGACGGTCTCCTAATTTAAGTTGTTGAGTGCTGTCATAATCCTTGCCTTCAATTCATCTTCATAGTGTAGATAGATACAACACCTCATCTCAGAAATGTAGACAGATGCCTACAAAGGCCGAAATATCGGGAATATGACAATAAAGCAGGGGACAACAGTCTGAACAATGTAAATAGTGTAAATGGTTCAGATACCTCATCTCAGAAATTTAAACCAGCTCGGATCGGTACGGACCAGATATACCCAAAATACGGAGAGTAGATCAAAAACAATCTACCTCAGTGGACTAAATAAAGTGTTCGGTTCGAAATTTCAACGTATATCACCTGAAGAAGACTGCAGCGAACAACAGCCGAAACGTCGTCAATATGACATCAACGATGAGGACAACAGCTCTAACAATGTAAATAGTGTAAGTATTTTAGACACTATTGGGTAGAAAAAATTGTGTGCCCCTATCTATCAACACCAAACACCTCTGATATAGATAAACAAAGAAAGAAAGAAACAAGAGGCTGACAAATACTTTCTCTGATATAGATAAACAAAGAAAGAAAGAAAGAAAAAACAAGAGGCTGACAGATACTTTCTCTGATATAGATAAACAAAGAAAGAAAGAAACAAGAGGCTGAACGACACTTTCTCTGGTATAGATAAGAAAAGAAAGAAAGAAATAAAAAAACAAGAGGCTGACAGACACTTTCTCTGATATAGATGAACAAAGAAAGAAAGAAACAAGAGGCTGACAGATACTTTCTCTGATATAGATAAACAAAGAAAGAAAGAAACAAGAGGCTGACAGTTACTTTCTCTGATATAGATAAACAAAGATAGAAAGAAGCAAGAGGCTGACAGATACTTTCTCTGATATAGAGAAACAAAGAAAGAAAGAAGCAAGAGGCTGACAGATACTTTCTCTGATATAGATAAACAAAGAAAGAAAGAAGCAAGAGGCTGACAGATACTTTCTCTGATATAGATAAACAAAGAAAGAAAGTAGCAAGAGGCTGACAGATAGTTTCTCTGATATAGATAAACAAAGAAAGAAAGAAACAAGAGACTGACAGATACTTTCTCTGATATAGATAAACAAAGAAAAAAAGAAAGAAAGAAACAAGAGGCTGACAGATACTTTCTCTGATATAGATAAACAAAGAAAAAAAGAAAGAAAGAAACAAGAGGCTGACAGTTACTTTCTCTGACATAGATAAACAAAGAAAAAAAGAAAGAAAGAAACAAGAGGCTGACAGATACTTTCTCTGATATAGATAAACAAAGAAAGAAAGAAGCAAGAGGCTGACAGATACTTTCTCTGATATAGATAAACAAAGAAAGAAAGAAGCAAGAGGCTGACAGATACTTTCTCTGATATAGATAAACAAAGAAAGAAAGAAGCAAGAGGCTGACAGATACTTTCTCTGATATAGATAAACAAAGAAAGAAAGAAACAAGAGACTGACAGATACTTTCTCTGATATCGATAAACAAAGAAAAAAAGAAAGAAAGAAACAAGAGGCTGACAGTTACTTTCTCTGATATAGATAAACAAAGAAAAAAAGAAAGAAAGAAACAAGAGGCTGACAGATACTTTCTCTGATATAGATAAACAAAGAAAGAAAGAAGCAAGAGGCTGACAGATACTTTCTCTGATATAGATAAACAAAGAAAGAAAGAAGCAAGAGGCTGACAGATACTTTCTCTGATATAGATAAACAAAGAAAGAAAGAAGCAAGAGGCTGACATATATTTTCTCTGATATAGATAAACAAAGAAAGAAAGAAGCAAGAGGCTGACAGATACTTTCTCTGACATAGATAAAGAAAGAAAGAAAGAAACAAGAGACTGACAGATACATTCTCTGATATAGATAAACAAAGAAAAAAAGAAAGAAAGAAACAAGAGGCTGACAGTTACATTCTCTGATATAGATAAACAAAGAAAAAAAGAAAGAAAGAAACAAGAGTCTGACAGATACTTTCTCTGATATAGATAAACAAAGAAAGAAAGAAGCAAGAGGCTGACAGATACTTTCTCTGATATAGATAAACAAAGAAAGAAAGATGCAAGAGGCTGACAGATACTTTCTCTGATATAGATAAACAAAGAAAGAAAGAAAGAAAGAAGCAAGAGGCTGACAGATACTTTCTCTGATATAGATAAACAAAGAAAGAAAGAAGCAAGAGGCTGACAGATACTTTCTCTGATATAGATAAACAAAGAAAGAAAGAAGCAAGAGGCTGACAGATACTTTCTCTGATATAGATAAACAAAGAAAGAAAGAAGCAAGAGGCTGACAGATACTTTCTCTGATATAGATAAACAAAGAAAAAAAGAAAGAACGAAACAAGAGGCTGACAGTTACTTTCTCTGATATAGATAAACAAAGAAAGAAAGAAACAAGAGACTGACAGATACTTTCTCTGATATAGATAAACAAAGAAAAAAAGAAAGAAAGAAACAAGAGGCTGTCAGTTACTTTCTCTGATATAGATAAACAAACAAAGAAAGAAACAAGAGACTGACAGATACTTTCTCTGATATATATAAACAAAGAAAAAAAGAAAGAAAGAAACAAGAGGCTGACAGTTACTTTCTCTGATATAGATAAACAAAGAAAGAAAGAAACAAGAGACTGACAGATACTTTCTCTGATATAGATAAACAAAGAAAAAAAGAAAGAAAGAAACAAGAGGCTGACAGTTACTTTCTCTGATATAGATAAACAAAGAAAGAAAGAAACAAGAGACTGACAGATACTTTCTCTGATATAGATAAACAAAGAAAAAAAGAAAGAAAGAAACAAGAGGCTGACAGTTACTTTCTCTGATATAGATAAACAAAGAAAGAAAGAAACAATAGGCTGACAGTTACTTTCTCTGATATAGGTAAACACAGAAAGAAAGAAAAAAGAGACTGACAGATACTTTCTCTGATATAGATAAACAAAGAAAAAAAGAAAGAAAGAAACAAAAGGCTGACAGATACTTTCTCTGATATAGATAAAGAAAGAAAGAAAGAAACAAGAGGCTGACAGATACTTTCTCAGATATAGATAAACAAAGAAAGAAAGAAACAAGAGACTGACAGATACTTTCTCTGATATAGATAAACAAAGAAAAAAAGAAAGAAAGAAACAAGAGGCTGACAGTTACTTTCTCTGATATAGATAAACAAAGAAAAAAAGAAAGAAAGAAACAAGAGGCTGACAGTTACTTTCTCTGATATAGATAAACAAAGAAAGAAAGAAACAAGAGGCTGACAGTTACTTTCACTGATATAGATAAACAAAGAAAGAAAGAAACAAGAGACTGACAGATACTTTCTCTGATATAGATAAACAAAGAAAGAAAGAAGCAAGAGGCTGACAGATACTTTCTCTGATATAGATAAACAAAGAAAAAAAGAAAGAAAGAAACAAGAGGCTGACAGATACTTTCTCTGATATAGATAAACAAAGAAAGAAAGAAGCAAGAGGCTGACAGATACTTTCTCTGATATAGATAAACAAAGAAAGAAAGAAACAAGAGGCTGACAGATACTTTCTCTGATATAGATAAACAAAGAAAGAAAGAAAGAAAGAAGCAAGAGGCTGACAGATACTTTCTCTGATATAGATAAACAAAGAAAAAAAGAAAAGAAGCAAGAGGCTGACAGATACTTTCTCTGATATAGATAAACAAAGAAAGAAAGAAGCAAGAGGCTGACAGATACTTTCTCTGGATATAGATAAACAAAGAAAGAAAGAAGCAAGAGGCTGACAGATACTTTTCTGATATAGATAAACAAAGAAAAAAAAAAAAAGAAAGAAAACAAGAGGTTGACAGTTACTTTCTCTGATATAGATAAACAAAGAAAGAAAGATACAAGAGGCTGACATATATTGTCTCTGATATAGATAAACAAAGAAAGAAAGAAACAAGAGGCTGACAGATACTTTCTCTGATATAGATAAACAAAGAATAAAGAAACAAGAGGCTGACAGATACTTTCTCTGATATAGATAAACAAAGAAAAAAGAAAGAAAGAAACAAGAGGCTGACAGTTACTTTCTCTGATATAGATAAACAAAGAAAGAAAGAAACAAGAGGCTGACAGATACTTTCTCTGATATAGATAAACAAAAAAAAAAGAAAGAAAGAAACAAGAGGCTGACAGATACTTTCTCTGATATAGATAAACAAAGAAAGAAAGAAACAAGAGGCTGACAGATACTTTCTCTGATATAGATAAACAAAGAAAAAAAGAAAGAAAGAAACAAGAGGCTGACAGTTACTTTCTCTGATATAGATAAACAAAGAAAGAAAGAAACAAGAGGCTGACAGATACTTTCTGATATAGATAAACAAAGAAAAAAGAAAGAAAGAAACAAGAGGTTGACAGATACTTTCTGATATAGATAAACAAAGAAAGAAAGAAACAAGAGGCTGACAGATACTTTCTCTGATATAGATAAACAAAGAAAAAAGAAACAAGAGGCTGACAGATACTTTCTCTGATATAGATAAACAAAGAAAAAGAAAGAAAGAAACAAGAGGCTGACAGATACTTTCTCTGATATAGATAAACAAAAAAAGAAAGAAAGAAACAAGAGGCTGACAGATACTTTCTCTGATATAGATAAAGAAAAAAAAAAGAAACAAGAGAAAACAGAGAGATACTTTCTCTGATATAAATAAACAAAGAAAAAAGAGGCTGACAGAAAGAAACAAGAGGCTGACAGTTACTTTCTCTGATATAGATAAACAAAGAAAAGAAAGAAAACAAGAGGCTGACAGTTACTTTCTCTGATATAGATAAACAAAGAAAGAAAGAAACAAGAGACTGACAGATACTTTTCTGATATAGATAAACAAAAAAGAAAGAAAGAAACAAGAGGCTGACAGATACTTTCTCTGATATAGATAAACAAAGAAAAAAGAAAGAAAGAAACAAGAGGCTGACAGATACTTTCTGATATAGATAAACAAAAAGAAAGAAAGAAACAAGAGACTGACAGATACTTTCTCTGATATAGATAAACAAAAAAAAAAAAGAAAGAAACAAGAGGCTGACAGATACTTTCTCTGATATAGATAAACAAAGAAAAAAAGAAACAAGAGGCTGACAGTTACTTTCTCTGATATAGATAAACAAAGAAAGAAAGAAAGAAAGATACAAGAGGCTGACATATATTTTCTCTGATATAGATAAACAAAGAAAGAAAGAAACAAGAGGCTGACAGATACTTTCTCTGATATAGATAAACAAAGAAAAAAAGAAAGAAAGAAACAAGAGACTGACAGATACTTTCTCTGATATAGATAAACAAAGAAAAAGAAAGAAAGAAAACAAGAGACTGACAGTTACTTTCTCTGATATAGATAAAACAAAGAAAAAAGATAAAAAGAAAACAAGAGGCTGACATATACTTTCTCTGATATAGATAAAAAAAGAAAGAAAGAAACAAGAGACTGACAGTTACTTTTTCTGATATATAAACAAAAAAAAAGAAAGAAAGAAACAAGAGGCTGACAGTTATTTTTCTGATATAGATAAACAAAGAAAAAAGAAAGAAAGAAACAAGAGGCTGACAGATACTTTCTCTGATATAGATAAACAAAAAAAAGAAAGAAAGAAAACAAGAGGCTGACATATTTTTCTGATATAGATAAACAAAGAAAAGAAAGAAACAAGAGACTGACAGATACTTTCTCTGATATAGATAAACAAAAAAAGAAAAAAAAAAGAGGCTGACAGATACTTTCTCTGATATAGATAAACAAAGAAAAAAAAGAAAAAAAAAAAGAGGCTGACAGATACTTTCTGATATAGATAAACAAAGAAAAAGAAAGAAACAAGAGGCTGACAGATATTTTCTCAGATATAGATAAACAAAAGAAAGAAAGAAAGAAACAAGAGACTGACAGATACTTTCTCTGATATAGATAAACAAAGAAAAAAGAAAAGAAAGAAACAAGAGGCTGACAGTTATTTTCTCTGATATAGATAAACAAAGAAAAAAGAAAAAAAGAAACAAGAGGCTGACAGATAAACTTTCTCTGATATAGATAAACTGAAAAAAAATAAAAAAGAAAGAAAGAAACAAGAGGCTGACAGATACTTTCTCTGATATAGATAAATAAAGAAAAAGAAAGAAAGAAACAAGAGGCTGACAGATACTTTCTCTGATATAGATAAACAAAAAAAAAGAAAGAAAGAAACAAGAGGCTGACAGATACTTTTCTGATATAGATAAACAAAAAAAGAAAGAAACAAGAGGCTGACAGATACTTTTCTGATATAGATAAACAAAGAAAGAAAGAAAGAAAGATACAAGAGGCTGACATATATTTTCTCTGATATAGATAAACAAAGACAGAAAGAAACAAGAGGCTGGCAGATACTTTCTCTGATATAGATAAACAAAAAAAAAGAAAGAAAGAAACAAGAGGCTGACATATATTTTCTCTGATATAGATAAACAAAGACAGAAAGAAACAAGAGGCTGACAGATACTTTCTCTGATATAGATAAACAAAGAAAAAAAGAAAGAAAGAAACAAGAGGCTGACAGATACTTTCTCTGATATAGATAAACAAAGAAAAAAAGAAAGAAAAAACAAGAGGCTGACAGATACTTTCTCTGATATAGATAAACAAAGAAAAAAAAGAAAGAAAGAAACAAGAGGCTGACATATATTTTCTCTGATATAGATAAACAAAGAAAGAAAGAAACAAGAGGCTGACAGATACTTTCTCTGATATAGATAAACAAAAAAAAAGAAAGAAAGAAACAAGAGGCTGACAGTTACTTTCTCTGATATAGATAAACAAAGAAAAAAAAAGAAACAAGAGACTGACAGATACTTTCTGATGATATAGATAAACAAAGAAAAAAGAAAGAAAGAAACAAGAGGCTGACAGTTATTTTTCTCTGATATAGATAAACAAAGAAAGAAAGAAACAAGAGGCTGACAGATACTTTTCTGATATAGATATAGATAAAGAAAAAAAAAGAAAAGAAAGATAAAAAGAGAAACTGACAGATACTTTCTCTGATATAGATAAACAAAAAAAAAAAGAAAGAAAGAAACAAGAGGCTGACAGATACTTTCTCTGATATAGATAAACAAAGAAAGAAAGAAAGAAACAAGAGGCTGACAGTTACTTTCTCTGATATAGATAAACAAAGAAAGAAAGAAACAAGAGGCTGACAGATACTTTCTCTGATATAGATAAACAAAGAAAAAAAGAAAGAAAGAAACAAGAGGCTGACAGATACTTTCTCTGATATAGATAAACAAAGAAAAAAAGAAAGAAAGAAACAAGAGGCTGACAGTTACTTTCTCTGATATAGATAAACAAAGAAAGAAAGAAACAAGAGGCTGACAGTTACTTTCTCTGATATAGATAAACAAAGAAAGAAAGAAACAAGAGGCTGACAGATACTTTCTCTGATATAGATAAACAAAGAAAGAAAGAAACAAGAGGCTGACAGATACTTTCTCTGATATAGATAAACAAAAAAAAAAAAAAGAAAGAAACTGGATAAGAGGCTGACAGTTTTCTCTGATATAGATAAACAAAGAAAAAAGAAAGAAAAAACAAGAGGCTGACAGATACTTTCTGATATAGATAAACAAAAAAAAAGAAAGAAAGAAACAAGAGGCTGACAGATATTTTCTCTGACATAGATAAACAAAGAAAGAAAGAAACAAGAGGCTGACAGTTACTTTCTCTGATATAGATAAACAAAGAAAGAAAGAAAGAAAGAAACAAGAGGCTGACATATACTTTTTGATCTGATATAGATAAACAAAGAAAGAAAGATACAAGAGGCTGACATATATTTTCTCTGATATAGATAAACAAAGACAGAAAGAAACAAGAGGCTGACAGTTACTTTCTCTGATATAGATAAACAAAGAAAAAAAGAAAGAAAGAAACAAGAGACTGACAGATACTTTCTCTGATATAGATAAACAAAGAAAGAAAGAAAGAAAGATACAAGAGGCTGACATATATTTTCTCTGATATAGATAAACAAAGACAGAAAGAAACAAGAGGCTGACAGATACTTTCTCTGATATAGATAAACAAAAAAAAAAAGAAAAAAGAGGCTGACAGTTACTTTTCTGATATAGATAAACAAAGAAAGAAAGAAAGAAAGAAATAAAGAGGCTGACATATATTTTTCTGATATAGATAAACAAAGAAAGAAAGAAACAAGAGGCTGACAGATACTTTCTCTGATATAGATAAACAAAAAAAAGAAAGAAACAAAACAGATACTTTTCTGATATAGATAAACAAAGAAAGAAAGAAAGAAAGAGGCTGACAGATACTTTCTCTGATATAGATAAACAAAGAAAAGAAAGAAAGAAACAAGAGGCTGACAAAGATACTTTCTCTGATATAGATAAACAAAGAAAGAAAGAAACAAGAGGCTGACAGATACTTTCTCTGATATAGATAAACAAAGAAAGAAAGAAAGAAACAAGAGGCTGACAGATATTTTCTCTGATATAGATAAACAAAGAAAGAAAGAAACAAGAGGCTGACAGATACTTTCTCTGATATAGATAAACAAAGAAAAAAAGAAAGAAAGAAACAAGAGGCTGACAGTTACTTTCTCTGATATAGATAAACAAAGAAAAAAGAAAGAAAGAAACAAGAGGCTGACAGATACTTTCTCTGATATAGATAAACAAACAAAAAAGAAAGAAAGAAACAAGAGACTGACAGATACTTTCTCTGATATAGATAAACAAAGAAAAAAAGAAACAAAGGCTGACAGATACTTTCTCTGATATAGATAAACAAAGAAAAAAGAAAGAAAGAAACAAGAGATACTTTCTCTGATATAGATAAAAACAAAGAAAAAAAGAAAGAAAAGAAACAAAGAGGCTGACAGATACTTTTCTGATATAGATAAACAAAGAAAAAAAAGAAAAACAAGAGACTGACAGATACTTTTCTGATATAGATAAACAAAGAAAAAAAGAAAGAAAGAAACAAGAGACTGACAGATACTTTCTGATATAGATAAACAAAGAAAAAAAAGAAAGAAACAAGAGGCTGACAGATACTTTTCTGATATAGATAAACAAAAAAAAAGAAAGAAAGAAACAAAGAGGCTGACAGATACTGACTCTGATATAGATAAACAAAGAAAGAAAGAAAGAAAAAACAAGAGGCTGACAGATACTTTCTCTGATATAGATAAACAAAGAAAAAAAAGAAAGAAACAAGAGGCTGACAGATACTTTCTCTGATATAGATAAACAAAGAAAAAAAAGAAAGAAAGAAACAAGAGGCTGACAGTTTTTTCTCTGATATAGATAAACAAAGAAAGAAAGAAAGATAAACAAAGAGGCTGACATATACTTTCTCTGATATAGATAAACAAAGAAAGAAAGAAAAGAAACAAGAGGCTGACAGTTACATTCTCTGATATAGATAAACAAAGAAAAAAAGAAAGAAAGAAACAAGAGACTGACAGATACTTTCTCTGATATAGATAAACAAAGAAAGAAAGAAAGAAAGATACAAGAGGCTGATATATATTTTCTCTGATATAGATAAACAAAGACAGAAAGAAACAAGAGGCTGACATATACTTTTCTGATATAGATAAACAAAGAAAAAAGAAAGAAAAACAAGAGGCTGACAGATACTTTCTCTGATATAGATAAACAAAGAAAGAAAAAAGAAAGAACAAGAGGCTGACATATATTTTCTGATATAGATAAAGAAAACAAAAAGAAAGAAACAAGAGGCTGACAGTTACTTTCTCTGATATAGATAAACAAAGAAAAAAAGAAACAAGAGGCTGACAGTTATTTCTCTGATATAGATAAACAAAGAAAGAAAGAAAGAAAGATACAAGAGGCTGACATATATTTTCTCTGATATAGATAAACAAAGACAGAAAGAAACAAGAGGCTGACAGATACTTTCTCTGATATAGATAAACAAAGAAAAAAAAGAAAGAAAGAAACAAGAGGCTGACAGTTACTTTCTCTGATATAGATAAACAAAGAAAGAAAGAAAGAAAATACAAGATGACATATATTTTCTCTGATATAGATAAAGAAAGAAAGAAAGAAACAAGAGGCTGACAGATATTTTCTGATATAGATAAACAAAAAAAAGAAAGAAAGAAACAAGAGGCTGACAGATACTTTCTCTGATATAGATAAACAAAGAAAGAAAGAAAGAACAAGAGGCTGACAGATATTTTCTCTGATATAGATAAACAAAAAAAAAAGAAAAAAAAGAAACAAGAGGCTGGTAGATATTTTCTGATATAGATAAACAAAGAAAGAAAGAAAGAAAGATACAAGAGGCTGACATATATTTTTCTGATATAGATAAACAAAGAAAGAAAGAAAGAAAAGAGGCTGACAGATACTTTTCTGATATAGATAAACAAAGAAAAAAAAAGAAAGAAAGAAACAAGAGACTGACAGATACTTTCTCTGATATAGATAAATAAAGAAAGAAAGAAAAAAAGATACAAGAGGCTGACAAAATTTTCTCTGATATAGATAAAGAAAGAAAGAAAGAAAGAACAAGAGGCTGACATATATTTTCTGATATAGATAAACAAAGAAAAAAAGAAAGAAAGAAACAAGAGGCTGACAGATACTTTCTCTGATATAGATAAACAAAAAAAAAAAAAAAGAAAGAAAGAAACAAGAGGCTGACAGTTACTTTTCTGATATAGATAAACAAAGAAAAAAAGAAAGAAAGAAACAAGAGGCTGACATATTATCTCTGATATAGATAAACAAAGAAAGAAAGAAACAAGAGGCTGGACAGATATTTTTCTCTGATATAGATAAACAAAAAAAAAAGAAAGTTAAAGAAACAAGAGGCTGACAGATACTTTCTCTGATATAGATAAACAAAGAAAAAAAAAAAAGAAAGAAACAAGAGGCTGACAGATACTTTCTCTGATATAGATAAACAAAGAAAGAAAGAAAGAAAGAGGCTGACAGATACTTTCTCTGATATAGATAAACAAAAAAAAAAAAGAAAGAAAGAAACAAGAGGCTGACATATATTTTCTCTGATATAGATAAACAAAAGAAAGAAAAGAAACAAGAGGCTGACAGTTACTTTCTCTGATATAGATAAACAAAGAAAGAAAGAAACAAGAGGCTGACAGATACTTTCTCTGATATAAATAAAGAAAAAAAAGAAAGAAAGAAACAAGACAAGACATGATAGTTTTTCTCTGATATAGATAAACAAAGAAAGAAAAAATAAGAGGCTGACAGATACTTTTCTCTGATATAGATAAACAAAGAAAAAGAAAGAACAAGAGGCTGACAGATACAGTTTTTCTGATATAGATAAACAAAGAAAGAAAGAAAGAAAGAAACAAGAGGCGGACAGATACTTTCTCTGATATAGATAAACAAAAAGAAAAAGAAAGAAAGAAAACAAAAAAAGAGGTTGACATATATTTTCTGATATAGATAAACAAAGAAAGAAAGAAACAAGAGGCTGACAGATACTTTCTCTGATATAGATAAACAAAGAAAGAAAGAAACAAGAGGCTGACAGATACTTTCTCTGATATAGATAAACAAAGAAAAAAAGAAAGAAAGAAACAAGAGGCTGACAGACAGTTACTTGATTCTGATATAAACAAAGAAAAAGAAAGAAAGAAACAAGAGGCTGACAGATACTTTCTCTGATATAGATAAACAAAAGAAAGAAAGAAAGAAAAGAGAGGCTGACAGATACTTTTTCTGATATAGATAAACAAAGAAAGAAAGAAAGAAAGAAACAAGAGGCTGACATATATTTTCTCTGATATAGATAAACAAAGAAAGAAAGAAAGAAAGAAACAAGAGGCTGACAGTTACTTTCTCTGATATAGATAAACAAAGAAAGAAAGAAAGAAAAACAAGAGGCTGACAGATACTTTCTCTGATATAGATAAACAAAGAAAAAAAAAAGAAAGAAACAAGAGGCTGACAGATATTTTTTCTGATATAGATAAACAAAGAAAAAAAGAAAGAAAGAAACAAGAGGCTGACAGTTACTTTCTGATATAGATAAACAAAAAGAAAGAAAGAAAGAAACAAGAGGCTGACAGATATTTTCTATGATATAGATAAACAAAGAAAGAAAGAAAGAAACAAGAGGCTGACAGATACTTTCTCTGATATAGATAAAAAGAAAGAAAGAAAGAAAGAAAGAAAGATATTTTCTGATATAATAAAGGAAAGAAACAAGAGTTACTTTCTCTGATATAGATAAACAAAGAAAAAGAGAAACAAAGAAAACAAGAGACTGACTTTCTCTGATATAGATAAAAACAAAGAAAGAAAGAAAGAAAGAAACAAGAGGCTGACAGATATTTTCTCTGATATAGATAAACAAAGAAAGAAAGAAAGAAAAGAAACAAGAGGCTGACAGATATTTTCTCTGATATAGATAAACAAAGAAAGAAAGAAACAAGAAACTGACAGATACTTTCTCTGATATAGATAAGATAAACAAAGAAAGAAAGAAACAAGAGATATTTTTCTCTGATATAGATAAACAAAGAAAGAAAGAAAGAAAGAAACAAGAGGCTGACATATACTTTCTCTGATATAGATAAACAAAGAAAAAGAAAGAAACAAGAGGCTGACAGTTTCTCTGATATAGATAAAAAAAAAAAAAAAGAAAGAAAGAAAAAGAGGCTGACAGATACTATTTTTCTGATATAGATAAACAAAAAAAAAGAAAGAAACAAGAGGCTGACAGATACTTTTCTGATATAGATAAAGAAAAAAAGAAAGAAAGAAACAAGAGGCTGACAGTTACTTTTCTGATATAGATAAACTAAAAGAAAAGAAAAGAACAAGATATTTTCTCTGATATATGATATAGATAAACAAAGAAAGAAAGAAACAAGAGGCTGACAGATACTTTTCTGATATAGATAAAAAAAAAAAGAAAGAAAAGAAACAAGAGGCTGACAGTTACTTTTCTGATATAGATAAACAAAGAAAGAAAGAAAGAAAGAAGAGGCTGACATATATTTTTCTGATATAGATAAACAAAGAAAGAAAGAAACAAGAGGCTGACAGATACTTTCTGATCTGATATAGATAAACAATGAATAAAAAAAAAGAAAGAAAGAAACAAGAGGCTGACAGTTACTTTCTCTGATATAGATAAACAAAGAAAGAAAGAAACAAGAGGCTGACAAATATTTTCTCTGATATAGATAAAGAAAAAAGAAAGAAACAAAGAGGCTGACAGATATTTTTCTCTGATATAGATAAAAAAAAGAAAAGAAAGAAATAAACAAAAGAGGCTGACATATACTTTTTCTGATATAGATAAACAAAGAAAGAAAGAAAAACTTTTTCTGATATAGATAAACAAAGAAAAAAGAAAGAAAGAAACAAGAGGCTGACAGATACTTTCTCTGATATAGATAAACAAAGAAAAAAAGAAACAAGAGGCTGACAGATACTTTCTCTGATATAGATAAACAAAGAAAGAAAGAAACAAAGAGGCTGACAGATATTTTTCTGATATAGATAAACAAAAAAAAAAAGAAAGAAAGAAACAAGAGAGGCTGACAGATACTTTTTCTGATATAGATAAACAAAGAAAGAAAGAAAGAAACAAGAGGCTGACAGATATTTTCTCTGATATAGATAAACAAAGAAAAAAAAAGAAAACAAGAGGCTGACAGTTACTTTTCTGATATAGATAAACAAAAAGAAAGAAAGAAACAAGAGGCTGACAGATATTTTCTCTGATATAGATAAAAAAGAAAGAAAAAAAAGAAAGAAAGAAACAAAAAAGAAAAAGAAAGAGACTGACAGATACTTTCTCTGATATAGATAAACAAAGAAAAAAAGAAAGAAAGAAACAAGAGGTTGACATATATTTTCTTTGATATAGATAAACAAAAAAAAAAGAAAGAAAGAAACAAGAGGAGACAGATACTACTTTCTCTGATATAGATAAACAAAGAAAAAAGAAAGAAAGAAACAAAAGAAAGAAACAAGAGAAACAAAGAGGCTGACATATATTTCTCTGATATAGATAAACAAAGAAAAAGAAAGAAAGAAACAAGAGGCTGACAGATACTTTCTCTGATATAGATAAACAAAGAAAAAAAGAAAGAAAGAAACAAGAGGCTGACAGATATTTTCTCTGATATAGATAAATAAACAAAAGAAAGAAAGAAACAAGAGGCTGACAGATACTTTCTCTGATATAGATAAACAAAGAAAAAAAGAAAGAAAGAAACAAGAGGCTGACAGATACATTTTCTCTGATATAGATAAACAAAGAAAGAAAGAAAAGAGACTGACAGATACTTTCTCTGATAAGATAAACAAAAAGAAAGAAACAAGAGGCTGACAGTTACTTTCTCTGATATAGATAAACAAAGAAAAAAGAAAGAAAGATACAAGAGGCTGACATATATTTTCTCTGATATAGATAAACAAAAGACAGAAAGAAACAAGATAAACAAAAACAAAAAAAGAAAGAAAGAAACAAGAGACTGACAGATACTTTCTCTGATATAGATAAACAAAGAAAAAAAGAAAGAAAGGTAACAAGACTTGACAGAATACTTTTCTGATATAGATAAAGAAAGAAAGAAAGAAAATACAAGAGTCTGACAGATACTTTCTCTGATATAGATAAACAAAGAAAGAAAGAAACAAGAGGCTGACAGATACTTTCTCTGATATAGATAAACAAAGAAAAAAAGAAAGAAAGAAACAAGAGGCTGACAGTTACTTTCTCTGATATAGATAAACAAAGAAAGAAAGAAAGAAAGATACAAGAGGCTGACATATATTTTCTCTGATATAGATAAACAAAGACAGAAAGAAACAAGAGGCTGACAGATACTTTCTCTGATATAGATAAACAAAGAAAAAAAGAAAGAAAGAAACAAGAGGCTGACATATATTTTCTCTGATATAGATAAACAAAGACAGAAAGAAAGAAAGAAACAAGAGGCTGACAGATATTTTCTCTGATATAGATAAACAAAAGAAAGAAAGAAAGAAAGAGGCTGACAGTTATTTTCTCTGAAATAAATAAACAAAGAAAGAAAGAAACAAGAGGCTTGACATATATTACTTTCTGATATAGATAAACAAAGAAAGAAAGAAAGAAAGAAACAAGAGGCTGACAGATATTTCTCTGATATAGATAAACAAAGAAAGAAAGAAACAAAAGAAACAAGATATATTTCTGATATAGATAAACAAAAAAAAAAAGAAAGAAAGAAACAAGAGGCTGACAGATACTTTCTGATATAGATAAACAAAGAAAAAGAAAAAAGAAAGAAAACAAGAGGCTGACATATATTTTCTCTGATATAGATAAACAAAGAAAAAAGAAGAAAGAAACAAGAGGCTGACAGATATTTTCTCTGATATAGATAAACAAAAAAAAGAAAGAAAAAACAAGAGGCTGGACATATATTTTCTCTGATATAGATAAACAAAGACAGAAAGAAACAAGAGGCTGACAGATATTTTTCTCTGATATAGATAAACAAAAAAAAAAGAAAGAAAGAAACAAGAGGTTGACAGTTACTTTCTCTGATATAGATAAACAAAGAAAGAAAGAAAGAAAGAGAACAAGAGGCTGAAGATACTTTCTGATATAGATAAACAAAGAAAGAAAGAAAGAAACAAGAGGCTGACAGTTACTTTCTGATATAGATAAACAAAGAAAGAAAGAAACAAGAGGCTGACAGATATTTTCTCTGATATAGATAAACAAAAAGAAAGAAAGAAACAAGAGGCTGACAAATATTTTTTCTGATATAGATAAACAAAGAAAGAAAGAAAGAAACAAGAGGCTGACAGATACTTTCTCTGATATAGATAAACAAAGAAAAAAAAGAAAGAAAGAAACAAGAGGCTGACAGATACTTTCTCTGATATAGATAAACAAAGAAAGAAAGAAAGAAAGAAACAAGAGGCTGACAGATACTTTCTGATATAGATAGATAAACAAAGAAAAAGAAAGAAACAAGAGGCTTGACAGTTACTTTCTCTGATATAGATAAACAAAGAAAGAAAGAAACAAGAGGCTGACAGATACTTTCTCTGATATAGAAAAAAGAAAGAAAGAAAGAAACAAGAGGCTGACAGATACTTTTTCTCTGATATAGATAAACAAAGAAAGAAAGAAAGAAAGAGGCTGACAGATACTTTCTGATATAGATAAACAAAGAAAGAAAGAAAGAAACAAGAGGCTGACAGATACTTTTCTGATATAGATAAACAAAGAAAAGAAAGAAAGAAAGAGGCTGAGAGATATTTTCTGGATATCTCTGAAAGAAAGATAAACAAGAGGCTGAAAGAATAGATAAACAAAGAAACAAGAGGCTGACAGATACTTTTCTGATATAGATAAACAAAGAAAGAAAGAAACAAGAGAAACAAGAGGCTGACAGATACTTTTCTGATATAGATAAACAAAGAAAGAAAAAAAGAAACAAGAGGCTGACAGATACTTTTTCTGATATAGATAAACAAAGAAAGAAAAAGAAAGAAACAAGAGGCTGACAGATACTTTCTCTGATATAGATAAACAAAGAAAGAAAGAAAGAAAGAAGCAAGAGGTTGACAGTTACTTTCTGATATAGATAAACAAAGAAAGAAAGAAAAAGAAAGATAAAAAAAGAAAAGAAAGAAAGAAAGAAATGTCTGATATAGATAAATAAAGAAAGAAAGAAAGAAACAAGAGGCTGACAGATACTTTCTTCTGATATAGATAAACAAAAAAAAAGAAAGAAAGAAACAAGAGGCTGACAGATACTTTTCTGATATAGATAAACAAAGAAAGAAAGAAAAAAAAACAAAGGCTGACAAATATTTTCTCTGATATAGATAAACAAAAGAAAGAAAAAACAAGAGGCTGACATATTTTCTCTGATATAGATAAACAAAAAAGAAAGAAAGAAAGAAACAAGAGGCTGACAGTTACTTTCTCTGATATAGATAAAAAAAAAAGAAAGAAAGAAAGAGGCTGATAGTTACTTTCTGATATAGATAAACAAAGAAAGAAAGAAACAAGAGGCTGACAGATACTTTTTCTGATATAGATAAACAAAGAAAAAAGAAAGAAAGAAACAAGAGGCTGACATATATTTTCTGATATAGATATAGATAAACAAAGAAAGAAAGAAACAAGAGGCTGACAGATACTTTCTCTGATATAGATAAACAAAGAAAGAAAGAAACAAGAGGCTGACAGATACTTTCTGATATAGATAAACAAAGAAAAAAAGAAAGAAAGAAACAAGAGACTGACAATATACTTTCTCTGATATAGATAAACAAAGAAAGAAAGAAACAAGAGACTGACAAATACTTTCTGATATAGATAAACAAAGAAAAAAAGAAAGAAAGAAACAAGAGGCTGACAGATACTTTCTCTGATATAGATAAACACAAAGAAAGAAAGAAACAAGAGGCTGACATATATTTTCTGATATAGATAAAAAAAAAAGAAAGAAACAAAAAAAGAAAGAAAAAACAAAGAAAGAAAAAAGAAACAAGAGGTTATATTTTTCTGATATAGACAAACAAAGAAAGAAAGAAAGAAACAAGAGGCTGACATATATTTTCTCTGATATAGATAAACAAAAACAGAAGAAAAACAAGAGGCTGACAGTTACTTTTCTGATATAGATAAACAAAGAAAAAAAGAAAGAAACAAGAGGCTGACAGATACTTTCTGATATAGATAAACAAAAGAAAGAAAGAAAGAAAGAGGCTGACAGATATTTTTCTGATATAGATAAACAAAGAAAAAAGAAAGAAAAACAAGAGGCTGACATATATTTTCTCTGATATAGACAAAAAAAGAAAGAAAGAAACAAGAGGCTGACAGATACTTTCTCTGATATAGATAAACAAAGAAAAGAAAGAAAAACAAGAGATTGACAGATACTTTCTCTGATATAGATAAACAAAGAAAAAAAGAAAGAAAAAGAAAGAAGAGGACATATTACTTTCTGATATAGATAAACAAAGAAAGAAAGAAACAAGAGGCTGACAGATACTTTCTCTGATATAGATAAACAAAGAAAAAAGAAAAAAGAACAAGAGGCTGACAGTTACTTTGTCTGATATAGATAAACAAAGAAAGAAAGAAAAAAACAAGAGGCTGACATATATTTTCTGATATAGATAAACAAAAAAAAAAAGAAAGAAACAAGAGGCTGACAGATACTTTCTCTGATATAGATAAACAAAGAAAGAAAGAAAACAAGAGGTTGACAGATATTTTTCTGATATAGATAAAAAAAGAAAGAAAGAAACAAGAGGCTGACAGATACTTTCTGATATAGATAAACAAAGAAAAAAAGAAAGAAAGAAACAAGAGGTTGACATATACTTTTGATATAGATAAACAAAGAAAGAAAGAAAAAAAACAAGAGGCTGACATATATTTTTAATTGATATAGATAAACAAAGAAAAAGAAAGAAACAAGAGGCTGACAGATACTTTCTGATATAGATAAACAAAGAAAAAAAAAGAAAGAAAGAAACAAGAGGTTGACAGATACTTTCTCTGATATAGATAAACAAAGAAAAAAGAAAGAAAAACAAGAGGCTGACAAATACTTTTCTGATATAGATAAACAAAGAAAAAGAAAGATAAACAAAGAAAGAAAAGAGGTTGACAGATACTTTCTCTGATATAGATAAACAAAGAAAGAAAGAAACAAGAGGCTGACAGATACTTTCTCTGATATAGATAAATAAAGAAAGAAAGAAACAAAAAACTTTCTCTGAAAGATAAAGAAAGAAAACAAGAGGCTGATAAAGTTACTTTTTCTGATATAGATAAACAAAGAAAGAAAGAAACAAGAGGCTGACAGATACTTCTCTGATATAGATAAACAAAGAAAAAAAAAAGAAAGAAACAAGAGTTTGACAGATACTTTCTCTGATATAGATAAACAAAGAAAGAAAGAAACAAGAGGCTGACAGGATATTTCTCTGATATAGATAAACAAAGAAAGAAAGAAACAAGAGGCTGACAGATATTTTCTGATATAGATAAACAAAGAAAAAAAGAAAGAAAGAAACAAGAGGCTGACAGATACTTTCTCTGATATAGATAAACAAAGAAAGAAAGAAACAAGAGGCTGACAGATACTTTCTCTGATATAGATAAACAAAGAAAGAAAGAAAGAAAGAAACAAGAGGCTGACAGTTACTTTCTCTGATATAGATAAACAAAGAAAGAAAGAAACAAGAGGCTGACAGATACTGGAAATGATATAGATAAACAAAGAAAGAAAGAAAGAAAGAAACAAGAGGCTGACAGTTACTTTTCTGATATAGATAAACAAAGAAAGAAAGAAACAAGAGGCTGACAGATACTTTTCTGATATAGATAAAAAAGAAAAAAAAAAAGAAAGAAAGAAACAAGGTTGACAGTTATTTTCTCTGATATAGATAAAACAAAGAAAGAAAGAAAGAAGAGGCTGACAGATACTTTCTCTGATATGAATAAAAGATAAACAAAGAAAGAAAGAAGAAAGAAAGAAACAAGAGGTTGACAGATACTTTCTCTGATATAGATAAACAAAAGAAAGAAAGAAAAAAGAAGAGGCTGACAGATACTTTTCTGATATAGATAAACAAAAAAAAAAGAAAGAAAAACAAGAGGCTGAAGATACTTTCTTCTGATATAGATAAACAAAGAAAGAAAGAAAGAAAGAAACAAGAGGCGGACAGATATTTTCTTGATATAGATAAACAAAGAAAGAAAGAAACAAGAGGCTGACAGACAGATATTTTCTCTGATATAGATAAAACAAAGAAATAAAGAAAGAAACAAGAGGCTGACAGATATTTTCTCTGATATAGATAAACAAAGAAAGAAAGAAAGAAAGAGGCTGACAGATACTTTTTCTGATATAGATAAACAAAGAAAGAAAGAAAGAAAGAAAAGAGGCTGGACAGATACTTTCTCTGATATAGATAAACAAAGAAAAGAAAGAAAAATAGGCTGACAGATACATCTGATATAGATAAACAAAGAAAGAAAAAAAGAAAGAAACAAGAGGCTGACAGATACTGGTCTGATATAGATAAACAAAAAAACAAAGAAAGAAAGAAACAAGAGGCTGACATATATTTTCTGGATATAGATAAAAAAGAAAGAAAGAAAAAAAGAAAGAGATATTTTTTTTAGATATATATTTTCTGATAAAGATAAAAAAAGAAAGAAACAAAACAAGACTGACAGATACTTTCTCTGATATAGATAAACAAAGAAAGAAAGAAAGAAAGATACAAGAGGCTGACATATATTTTCTGATATAGATAAACAAAGAAACAGAAAGAAACAAGAGAGGCTGACAAATTTTTTCTGATATAGATAAACAAAGAAAGAAAGAAAGAAACAAGAGGCTGACAGATACTTTTTTCTGATATAGATAAAAAAAGAAAGAAAGAAAAAGAAACAAGAGACTGACAGATACTTTTTCTGAATAGATAAAACAAAGAAAAAAAAAAAGATACAAAAGGAACAGGTTTGACAGTTATTTCTCTGATATAGATAAACAAAGAAGAAAGAAAGAAAGAAACAAGAGGCTGACATATATTTTTCTGATATAGATAAACAAAAAAAAAGAAAGAAAGAAACAAGAGGCTGACATATATTTTCTGATATGATAATATAGATAAACAAAGAAAGAAAGAAAGAAAAAGAGAGGCTGACATATATTTTCTCTGATATAGATAAAGAAAGAAAAAAAAAGAAAGAAAGAAACAAGAGGTCTTGACAGATATTTTCTGATATAGATAAAAAAAAAGAAAAGAAAGAAAAAGAAAGATACAAGAGACTGATAAATATTTGATATGATATAGATAAACAAAGAAAGAAAGAAATAAGAGGCTGACAGATATTTTCTCTGATATAGATAAACAAAGAAAAAAGAAAGAAAGAAACAAGAGGCTGACAGATACTTTCTCTGATATAGATAAACAAAGACAGAAAGAAACAAGAAGACAAACTTTCTCTGATATAGATAAACAAAGAAAAAAGAAAGAAAAAGAAAGAAACAAGAGGCTGACAGATACTTTCTCTGATATAGATAAACAAAGAAAAAAAGAAAGAAAGAAAAAAGAGGTTATGATATTTTCTGATATAGATAAACTATTTTCTATGATATAGATAAACAAAGAAAAAAAAAGAAAGAAAGAAATAAGAGGCTGACAGATATTTCTCTGATATAGATAAATAAAAGAAATAAAGAAAGAAAGATACAAGAGGCTGACAGATATTTTCTCTGATATAGATAAACAAAGAAAGAAAGAAACAAGATTCATGACAGATATATAGATTCATTCTATATATAGATAAACAAAGAAAGAAAGAAACAAGAGGCTGACAGATTTTTCTCTGATATAGATAAACAAAGAAAGAAAGAAAGAAAGAAACAAGAGACTGACATACTTTTTCTCTGATATAGATAAACAAAGAAAAGAAAGAAACGAATAACAAGAGGCTGACAGATACTTTTCTCTGATATAGATAAACAAAAGAAAGAAAGAAAGAAAGAAACAAGAGGCTGACATATATTTTCTCTGATATAGATAAAAAAGAAAGAAAGAAACAAGAGGCTGACAGTTACTTTCTCTGATATAGATAAACAAAGAAAGAAAAAGAAGAAAGAACAAGAGGCTGACAGATACTTTTATTCTGATATAAATAAACAAAGAAAGAAAGAAAACAAGAGGCTGACAGATATTTTCTTTCTGATATAGATAAACAAAGAAAAGAAAAAAAGAGGCTGACATATATTTTTCTCTGATATAGATAAACAAAGACAGAAAGAAACAAGAGATGACAGATACTTTCTGATATAGATAAACAAAAAAAGAAAGAAAGAAAAATACAAGAAACTATATATTTTCTGATATAGATAAAAACAAAGACAGAAAGAAACAAGAGGCTGACAGATACTTTCTCTGATATAGATAAACAAAGAAAAAAAGAAAGAAAGAAACAAGAGATTGACAGTTATATTTTTCTGATATAGATAAAAAAGAAAGAAAGAAAGAAAGAAACAAGAGGCTGACAGATATTTTTCTGATATAGATAAACAAAGAAAGAAAGAAACAAGAGGCTGACAGATACTTTTCTGATATAGATAAACAAAAAAAAAGAAAGAAAAAACAAGAGGCTGACAGATATTTTTCTGATATAGATAAACAAAGAAAGAACCAAAACAAGAGGCTGACAGATAACTTTTCTGATATAGATAAACAAAGAAAAAAGAAAGAAAAAGAAACAAGAGGCTGATTTTATTTTTCTGATATAGATAAACAAAGAAAGAAAAAAAGAAAGTACAAGAGGCTGAGATATATTTCTGATATAGATAAACAAAGAAAAGAAAAAAGAAACAAGAGGTTGACAGTTTTTTTCTGATATGATAAATAAATAAAAAAAGAAAGAAAGAAACAAGAGACTGACAGTTACTTTTCTGATATAGATAAACAAAGAAAGAAAGAAAGAAACAAGAGGCTGACAGATATTTTTCTGATATAGATAAACAAAGAAAAAGAAAGAAAGAAAGGTTGACAGATACTTTTTCTGATATAGATAAACAAAGAAAGAAAGAAAAAGAGGCTAGACAGATACTTTTCTGATATAGATAAACAAACAAAGAAAAGAAAGAAAGAAACAAGAGGCTGACAGATACTTTTCTGATATAGATAAACAAAGAAAAAAAGAAAGAAAGATACAAGAGGCTGACATATATTTTCTCTGATATAGATAAACAAAGAAAGAAAGAAACAAGAGTCTGACAGATACTTTTCTGATATAGATAAAACAAAGAAAAGAAAGAAACAAGATTTGACAGATACTTTTCTGATATAGATAAAACAAAGAAAAAAGAAAGAAAGAACAAGATCTGACAGATACTTTCTGATATAGATAAACAAAGAAAGAAAGAAACAAGAGATTGACAGATACTTTTCTGATATAGATAAAGAAAGAAAAAAAGAAAGAAAGAAACAAGAGGCTGATAGATACTTTCTTTCTGATATAGATAAACAAAGAAAGAAAGAAACAAGAGGTTGACAGATATTTCTCTGATATAGATAAATAAAGAAAGAAAGAAAGAAAGAACAAGAGGCTGACAGAAAAAGAGGCTGACAGATACTTTTCTGATATAGATAAACAAAGAAAAAAAGAAAGAAAGAAACAAAAGAAAGAAAAAGTCAAGAGGCTGATAGTTACTTTGATATATAGATAAACAAAGAAAGAAAGAAAAAACAAGAGGCTGACAGATACTTTTCTGATATAGATAAACAAAGAAAGAAAGAAAACAAGAAACGGATACTTTCTGAATAGATAAACAAAGAAAGAAACAAAGAGGGACAGATAATGTCTCTGATATAGATAAAAAAAGAAAGAAAGAAACAAGAGGTTGACAGATATTTTCTGATATAGATAAACAAAGAAAGAAAGAAAGAAACAAGAGGCTGACAGTTACTTTTCTGATATAGATAAACAAAAAAAGAAAGAAAGAAACAAGAGGCTGACATATTTTTTGATAAATGAAAGAAAGAAACAAGAGGCTGTTGATAACAATGATATAGATAAACAAAGAAAGAAAGAAAGAAACAAGAGGCTGATAGTTACTTGATATGATAAACAAAGAAAAAGAAAGAAAAGAAAGAATATATTTTCTGAAAGATAAAGAAAGAAAAGGAAGAGCTTGATGAGATACTTTTTCTGATATAGATAAACAAAGAAAAAAGAAAGAAAGAAACAAGAGGTTGACAGATACTTTCTGATATAGATAAACAAAGAAAAAAGAAAGAAAAGAGGCTGACAAATATTTTCAGATATAGATAAACAAAGAAAAAGAAAGAAAGAAAAAAGAAACAGATACTTTCTGATATAGATAACTAAAGAAAGAAAGAAAAAGAGGCTGATATATAGATAAAAAAAAAAAGAAAGAGAAACAAAGAGGCTGACAGATACTTTCTCTGATATAAAGATAAACAAAAAAAGAAAACAAGAGGCTGACATATACTTTCCTGATATAGATAAACAATAAAAGAAAGAAAAAACAAGAGGCTGACATATTTTTTCTCTGGATATAGATAAACAAAAGAAAGAAAGAAACAAGAGGCTGACAGATACTTTTATGATATAGAAAAAAAAAGAAAGAAAAAACAAGAGGCTGACAGATACTTTCTCTGATATAGATAAACAAAGAAAAAAGAAAGAAAGAAACAAGAGGCTGACAAATACTTTCTCTGATATAGATAAACAAAGAAAGAAAGAAAGAAACAAGAGGCTGACTTTTCTCTGATATAGATAAAAAAAAGAAAAAGAAAGAAAACAAGAGATGACAGTGAACGAAGAGAATGACAGATATAGATAAACAAAAAATAAAAAAAGAAAGAAAGAAAAAGAATCGACAGATACTTTCTTGATATAGATAAACAAAGAAAGAAAGAAATAAAAGAAACAAGAGGATGACAGATAATTTTTTCTGATATAGATAAACAAAGAAAAAAAAAGAAAAAAGAGGCTGACAAAGAAGATATTTTCTTTTGATATAGATAAACAAAGAAAGAAAAGAAACAAGAGGCTGACAGATATTTTCTCTGATATAGATAAACAGAAAGAAACAAAGGCTGAAAAAAGAAAGAAAGAAACAAGAGGTTGACAGATAAACTCTGATATAGATAAACAAAGAAAGAAAAAACAAGAGGCTGACAGAACTTTCTCTGATATAGATAAACAAAGAAAGAAAGAAAGAAACAAGCCTTCAGGAAATTGACAGAAAGAAACAAAGGCTGACTTTCTGATATAGATAAACAAAGAAAAAAAAAGAAAGAAACAAGAGGCTGACAGAACTTTCTGGATATAGATAAAAAAAAGAAAGAAAGAAAGAAAGAAACAAGAGGCTGACAGATACTTTTCTGATATAGATAAACAAAGAAAAAAAAAAAGAAAGAAAGAAACAAGAGGCTGACAGTTACTTTCAAAGATATAGATAAACAAAGAAAAAGAAAAGAAAGAAACAAAGAAAAAAAGGAAAGAAAGATAGGAAACTCTGATATAGATAAACAAAGAAAGAAAGAAAGAGGGTTGACAGATACTTTCTCTGGATAAAGAAAGAAAGAAACCAGAGACTGATAAATTGTCTCTGATATAGATAAAAAGAAAGAAAGAAGGAAGAGGCTGAAAGATACTTTCTGATATAGATAAAACAAAGAAAAAAAGAAAGAAAAGACAAGAGGCTGACAGAACTTTCTCTGATAAATAGAAGAAAGAAAAGAAAGAAAGAAACAAGAGGTTGACAAAGAAAGATAAAGATTTGAAAGAAAAAAGAAAGAAAGAATGAAGAGGCTGAAAGAAAAAAGAAAGATATAGATAAAACAAAGAAAAAAACTGAAAAGAAAAAGAAACAAGAGGTTGACAGATACTTTCTCTGATATAGATAAACAAAGAAAGAAAGAAACAAGAGGCTGACAGGATATTTTCTCTGATATAGATAAACAAAGAAAAAGAAAAGAAAAAGAGACTGACAGATCTTTTCTTATGATATAGATAAAAAAAGAAAGAAAGAAACAAGAGGCTGACAGATTTTTTCTGATATAGATAAACAAGAAAGAAAAAAGAAAAGAAAGAAACAAGAGGCTGACATATATTTTCTAGATATAGATAAACAAAGAAAGAAAGAAACAAGAGGCTGACAGATATTTCTCTGATATAGATAAACAAAAAAGAAAAAAGAAAGAAAGAAACAAGAGGTTTTCATCATATTTTCTCTGATATAGATAAACAAAGAAAGAAAGAAACAAGAGGCTGACAGATACTTTCTCTGATATAGATAAACAAAGAAAAAAGAAAGAAACAAGAGGCTGACATTTATATATGATTCAAAGAAAGAAAGAAAGATATAGATAATGAAAGAAAGAAAGAAACAAGAGGTTGACATATCTTTTCTCTGATATAGATAAACAAAGAAAAAAAAGAAACAAGAGGCTGACAGATCTTTTCTGATATAGATAAACAAAGAAAAAAAAAAGAAATCAAGAGGCTGACAGAAATATTGAACTACTTTCTGATATAGATAAACAAAGAAAAAAAAGAAACAAGAGGCTGACAGATACTTTCTCTCTGATATAGATAAACAAAGAAAAAAGAAAGAAACAAGAGGCTGACAGATATTTTTCTGATATAGATAAACAAAAGAAAGAAAGAAACAAGAGGCTGACAGATATTTTCTCTGATATAGATAAACAAAGAAAAAGAAAGAAAGATACAAGAGGCTGACAGATACTTTCACTGATATAGATAAACAAAGAAAAAAAGAAAGAAAGAAAGAAAAACAAGAGGCTGACAGATACTTTCTCTGATATAGATAAACAAAGAAAAAAAGAAAGAAAGAAACAAGAGGTTGACAGATACTTTCTCTGATATAGATAAACAAAGAAAAAGAAAAGAAAGAAACAAGAGGATGACATATATTTTTCTGATATAGATAAAAAAAAGAAAGAAAGAAACAAGAGGCTGACACAGTTACTTTCTCTGATATAGATAAACAAAGATAAAAAGAAAAAAGAAACAAGAGGCTGACAGTTACTTTCTGATATAGATAAAAAAGAAAAAAGAAAGAAAGAAACAAGAAAGAGGCTGACTTTTTCTTTTGATATAGATAAATAGATAAAGAAAAGAAAGAAAGAAACAAGAGGCTGACAGATACTTTCTGATACAGAAAAAAAGAAAGAAAGAAACAAGAGGCTGGAGATATATTTTCTGATATAGATAAACAAAGAAAAAAGAAACAAAAGGCTGACAAGAGATAAACAAAGAAAAAAGATACTTTCTGAGATATTTTCTGAGATAAAAAAAAGAAAGAAAAAACAAGAGGCTGACAGATATTTCTCTGATATAGATAAACAAAGAAAAAGAAAGAAAGAAACAAGAGGTTGACAGTTACTGACTTGATATAGATAAAACAAAGAAAGAAAGAAATAAGAGGCTGACAGATACTTTTCTATAGATAAAGAAAAAAGAAAGAAACAAAGAAAAAAAGAAAGAAAGAAACAAGAGGGGCTGACATATATTTTCTCTGATATAGATAAACAAAGAAAGAAAGAAACAAGAGGTGACAGATACTTTCTGATATAGATAAACAAAGAAAAAAAGAAAGAAACAAGAGGCTGACAGATACTTTTCTGATATAGATAAACAAAGAAAAAAGAAAGAAAGAAACAAGAGGCTGGACAGTCTTTTTTCTGATATAGATAAACAAAGAAAAAGAAAAAGAAAAGAAGAGGGTTGACAGATACTTTCGTTCTGATATAGATAAACAAAGAAAAAGAAAGATACAAGAGGCTGACAGATATTTTCTTTGATATAGATAAACAAAGAAAGAAAAGAAACAAGAGGTTGACAGATACTTTGATTTATATATTAAACAAAGAAAGAAAGAAACAAGAGGCTGACTTTTACTTTTCTGATATAGAAAAACAAAGAAAAGAAAAGAAAAAAGATATTGACAGATACTTTCTGATATAGATAAACAAAGAAAAAAAGAAAAGTAAAGAGGCTGGACATATATTTGTCTGATATAGATAAAAAAAGAAAGAAAGAAACAAGAGGCTGACAGATTTTTCTTGGATATAGATAAACAAAAAAAGAAAAAAGAAACAAGAGGCTTTATTTTATATTGATTTTTAAAAAAAAAAGAAAGAAAGAATCAAGAGGTTGACAGATACTTTCTCTGATATAGATAAACAAAGAAAGAAAGAAACAAAAGGGCTGACAGATACTTTCTGATATAGATAAACAAAGAAAAAAAGAAAGAAAAGAAAAAGAGGCTGAAAAATAAAATCTTTCTGATATAGATAAACAAAAGAAAGAAAAAACAAGAGACTGAGGATATTCGACAAATATAGATAAAGATAAAGAAAAAGAAAGAAAGAAAGAAACAAGAGGATGACAGATACTTCTTGATATAGATAAACAAAGAAAAAGAAAAAAGAGGAAAGAGGCTGATGATATTTTTCTGATATAGATAAAGAAAAAGAAAGAAAGAAACAAGAGGCTGACAGTTACTTTTCTCTGATATAGATAAACAAAGATAAAAAAAAAGAAAGAATGATACAAGAGGCTGACATATATTTTCTTTCTCTGATATAGATAAACAAAGAAAAAAGAAAGAAAACAAGAGGCTGACAGATACTTTCTGATATAGATAAACAGAAAAAAAAAAAAAGAAATGAAAAGAAAAAAGAGAAAAAAGAAAGATTTTCTGATATGATAAATAAAGAAAAGAAAGAAACAAGATATGACAGATACTTTCTCTGATATAGATAAAAAAAAAAAAGAAAGAAAGAAACAAGAGGCTGACAGAACTTTCTCTGAAAGATAAATAAATAAAAAAGAAAGAAAGAAAAAGAGGCTGACATATATTTGATATGATAAACAAAGAAAACAAAGAAAGAAAGAAACAAGAGGCTGACAGATACTTTTTCTGATACTTTTAAACAAAGAAAAAGAAAGAAACAAGAGGCTGACAATATATTTTCTGATATAGATAAACAAAGAAAAGAAAAAAACAAAGAATAAAGAGGCATGACAGATACTTTCTCTGATATAGATAAACAAAAAAAAGAAAGAAAAAAAAAAGAGAAAGACAGATACTTTCTGATATAGATAAACAAAAAAAAAGAAAGAAAGAATACAAGAGAAAAGAGAAAGAACTCTGATATAGATAAACAAATACAAAGAATTTTCTGATAGATAAACAAAAGAAAAAAAACAAGAGGCTGACAGTTACTATCTGATATAGATAAACAAAGAAAAAAAAAAAGAAAGAAAGGTTGAGATCTGACAGATACTTTCTGATATAGATAAACAAAGAAAGAAAGAAACAAGAGGCTGACAAATATTTTCTCTGATATAGATAAACAAAGAAAGAAAGAAGAAGAGGCTGACAGATACTTTCTCTGATATACAGATAAACAAAGAAAAAAGAAAGAAACAAGAGGCTGACAGATACTTTCTGATATAGATAAACAAAGAAAAAAAGAAAGAAAGAAACAAGAGGCTGACATATATTATTCTGATATAGATAAACAAAAAAGAAAAAACAAGAGGCTGACAGATTTTTTCTGATATAGATAAAAAAAGAAAGAAAGAAAAAGAGTCTGACAGATTTTCTCTGATATAGATAAACAAAAAAGAAAGAAACAAGAGGATGACAGGTACTTTTCTGATATAGATAAACAAAGAAAAAAAGAAAAGAAAGAAACAAGAGGCTGACAGTTATTTTCAAAGAAAGAAAAGATAAACAAAGAAAAAAAGAAACAACAAGCAAGAGGGACAAAGATACTTTTCTGATATAGACAAACAAAGAAAAAAGAAAGAAAAACAAGAGGTTATGATATATTTCTCTGATAACAAAAAAAGAAAGAAACAAGAGGCTGACATATATTGACAGATTCTCTGATATAGATAAACAAAAGAAAGAAAGAAACAAGAGGCTGACAGATACTTTCTCTGATATAGATAAACAAAAGAAAAAGAAAGAAAGAAAGAAACAAGAGGTTGACAGATGATATTTATCTTGACATAGATAAACAAAGGCTGACAGATATTTTCTGATATAGATAAACAAAGAAAGAAAGGAACAAGAGGCTGACAGATATTTTCTCTGGATATAGATAAACAAAGAAAGAAAAAAAAGAAAGAAACAAGAGGCTGACAGTTACTTTCTGATATAGATAAACTGATATAGGAAAGAAAGAAATAATAAACTGATATAGATAAAAAAGAAAAAAAAGAAAGAAACAAGAGGCTGACAGATACTTTCTCTGATACAGATAAACAAAGAAAGAAAGAAAGAAAAACAATGAGAGTTACTTTCTCTGATATAGATAAAAACAAAGAAAGAAAGAAACAAGAGGCTGACAGATACTTTCTTTGATATAGATAAACAAAGAAAGAAAGAAAGAAAAACAAGAGGCTGACAGTTACTTTTCTGATATAGATAAACAAAAGAAAGAAAGAAACAAGAGTTGATGATACTTTCTCTGATATAGATAAACAAAGAAAGAAAAAGAAAGAAAGAAACAAGAGGTTGACAGTTACTTTTCTGATATAGATAAACAAAAGAAAGAAAGAAACAAGAGGCTGACAGATACTTTCTCTGATATGATAAAGAAAAAAAAAGAAAGAAAGAAAAAGAGGCTGAGAGTTACTTTTCTGATATAGATAAACAAAGAAAGAAAGAACAAGATGCTGACAGATTTTTCTGATATAGATAAACAAAGAAAAAAGAAAGAAAGATAAAACAAGAAAGGTTGACAGATACTTTTCTGATATAGATAAAACAAAGAAAAAAGAAAGAAAGAAACAAGAGGCTGACAGATACTTTGATCTGATATAGATAAACAAAGAAAGAAAAGAAAGATACAAGAGGCTGACATATTTTTGATATAGATAAACAAAGAAAAGAAAGAAACAAGGGTTGTTAAATTCTCTCTGGATATAGATAAACAAAAAAAAAGAAAGAAAGAAACAAGAGGCAACAGATACTTTTCATGATATAGATAAACAAAGAAAGAAAGAAACAAGAGAAGGACAGATACTTTTCTGATATAGATAAACAAAGAAAAAAAAGAAAGAAAGAAACAAGAGGCTGACAGTTATTTTCTGATATAGATAAACAAAGAAAGAAAGAAACAAGAGGCTGACAGATACTTTCTCTGATATAGATAAAGAAAGAAAAAAAGAAAGAAACAAAGAAAGAGACTGACATATACTTTTTCTGATATGGGAGGCCGAAAAAAAAAAAGAAAGAAATAAGAGGCTGACATATATTTTTCTGATATAGATAAACAAAGAAAAGAAAGAAAAACAAGAGGCTGACAGTTACTTTCTCTGATATAGATAAACAAAAAAAGAAAGATACAAGAGGCTGACAAAGAAAGAAACAAAGAGGAAACTGACAGATACTTTCTCTGATATAGATAAACAAAGAAAAAGAAAGAAACAAGAGGCTGACAGATATTTTTCTGATATAGATAAACAAAGAAAGAAAAAAGAAAGAAACAAGAGGCTGACAAATACTTTCTCTGATATAGATAAACAAAGAAAGAAAGAAACAAGAGGCTGACATAATTGGTTTATGATATAGATGACAAACAAAGAAAGAAAGAACAAGAGGCTGACAGATTTTGACTTGATATAGAGAAAAGAAAAAAAGAAAGAAAGATAAAAAAGAAAAGAGGCTGACATATACTTTTCTGGATATAGATAAAGAAAGAAAGAAACAAGAAAGATACTTTTCTGATATAGATAAACAAAGAAGATACAAGAGTCTTATATATTATAGATAAGATAAACAAAGAAAGAAAACAAGAGGCTGACAGTTACTTTCTCTGATATAGATAAACAAAGAAAAAAAAGAAAGAAAGAAACAAGAGTCTGACAGTTATTTGGATTTTCTGATATAGATAGAGAAACAAAGACAGAAAGAAACAAGAGGCTGACAGATACTTTCTCTGATATAGATAAACAAAAAGAAAAAAAAAACAAGAGTCTGAAAGGCTGATAAGATACAGAAAAAGGCTGACATATAGATAAACAATAGAAAAACAAAGAAAGAAAGAAACAAGAGGCTGACAGATACTTTCTCTGATATAGATAAACAAAGAAAAAAGAAAGAAACAAGAGGCTGACAGATACTTTCTCTGATATAGATAAACAAAGAAAAAAGAAAGAAAGAAACAAGAGGCTGACATATATTTTCTGATATAGATAAACAAAGAAAGAAAGAAACAAGAGGCTGACAGATACTTTCTCTGGATATAGATAAATAAACAAAAAAAAGAAAGAAAGAAACAAGAGGCTGACAATTATTTTCTCTGATAGATAAATAAAAAAGAAAGAAAACAAAAGAGGCTGAAGGATATATTTTCTATGATATAGATAAACAAAAAAAGAAAAAACAAAGAGGTTGACAGATACTTTCTCTGATATAGATAAACAAAGAAAAAAGAAAGAAAGAAACAAGAGAATTTCTATGATAAGAAAACAAAAGAAACAAGAGGCTGACAAAATACCTTTCTGATATAGATAAACAAAGAAAAAAGAAAGATACAAGAGGACGACAGATATTTTCTCTGATATAGATAAAACAAAGAAAGAAAAGAAACAAGAGGCTGACAGATATTTTCTCTGATATAGATAAACAAAAGAAAAAACAAAAGAAAGAAACAAGAGGCTGATACAGATACTTTCTGATATAGATAAACAAAGAAAAGAAAGAAAAAAAGAGGCTGACAGATATTTTCTCTGATATAGATAAACAAAAAAAAAAGAAAAGTCTCAGAATAGAAACAAGAGGCTGGACTGATACTTTCTCTGATATAGATAAACAAAGAAAAAGAAAGAAAACAAGAGGCTGACAGATATTTTCTGATATAGATAAACAAAGAAAAAAGAAAGAAAGAAAAAGAGGCTGGCAGTTACTTTTCTGATATAGATAAACAAGAGGCTGACAGATACTTTCTCTGATATAGCTAAACAAAAGAAAAAAAAACAAAGAAAAAACAAGAGGCTGACAGTTATTTTCTGATATAGATAAAAACAAAAAAAGAAAGAAACAAGAGGCTGACAGATATATTTCTCTGATATAGATAAACAAAGAAAGAAAAGAAACAAGAGGCTGATGATAAGATACTTTGATATAGATAAACAAAGAAAAAAGAAAGAAAGAAGGAAGAGATGACAGTTTTTCTGATATAGATAAACAAAAGAAAGAAAGAAACAAGAGGCTGACAGATACTTTCTCTGATATAGATAAACAAAGAAAAAGAAAAACAAAGAAAGAAAAGAAACAAGAAAGAACAAAGAGGCTGGATAGTTACTTTCTGATATAGATAAACAAAGAAAGAAAGAAACAAGAGGCTGACAGATATATGATTAGATAAACTGATATAGATAAACAAAGAAAAAGAAAAAAGAAAAAAGAAACAAGAGGCTGACAGTTACTTTCTCTGATATAGATAAACTAAAAAGAAAGAAACAAGAGGCTGACAGATACTTTCTCTGATATAGATAAACAAAGAAAAAAAAGAAAGATACAAGAGGCTGACAGATACTTTCTCTGATATAGATAAACAAAGAAAAAGAAAGAAAGAAAGAGGAGAGACGAGATAGTTTTCTCTGATATAGATAAACAAAAAAAAAAAAGAAAGAAACAAGAGGCTGACAGTTACTTTCTCTGATATAGATAAACAAAGAAAAGAAAGAAAAAAGAAGAGGCTGACAGATACTTTCTGGATATAGATAAACAAAGAAAAAAAAAGAAAGAAACAAGAGGCTGACAGATATTGTCTCTGATATAAATAAAGAAAAAAGAAAGAAAGAAACAAGAGGCTGACAGTTACTTTCTCTGATATAGATAAACAAAGAAAAGAAAAGAAACAAGAGATAAACTGAAAAGAAAGAAAAAAAGAAAGAAACAAGAGGCTGACAGATATTGTCTCTGATATAGATAAACAAAGAAAGAAAAAAACAAGAGGCTGACAGATATTTTCAAAGAATCTGATATAGATAAACAAAGAAAAAAAAAAGAAAGAAAGAAACAAGAGGCTGACAGTTACTTTCTCTGATATAGATAAACAAAGAAAGAAAGAAACAAGAGGCTGACAGATACTTTTCTGATATAGATAAACAAAAGAAAGAAAGAAACAAGAGGCTGACAGTTACTTTTCTGATATAGATAAACAAAAAAAAGAAAGAAAAAAAGAGGCTGACAGATATTCTCTGATATAGATAAACAAAGAAAGAAAAAAGAATTGACAGATATTTTACTGATATAGACAAAAAAAGAAAAAAAAAGAAAGAAAGAAAGAAACAAGAGGCTGACAGATACTTTTTCTGATATAGATAAACAAAGAAAGAAAGAAACAAGAGGCTGACAGATACTTTCTCTGATATAGATAAACAAAAGAAAAAAAAAGAAAGAAACAAGAGGCTGACATATATTATCTGATATAGATAAACAAAGAAAGAAAGAAAAAACAAGAGGCTGACAGATATTTTCTCTGATATAGATAAACAAAGAAAAAAAGAAAACAAAGAGGCTGACAGATATTTCTCTGATAGATACAAAAAAAAAAGAAAGAAAGAAACAAGAGGCTGACAGATACTTTCTCTGATATAGATAAACAAAGAAAGAAAGAAACAAGAGGCTGACAGATACTTTCTCTGATATAGATAAACAAAGAAAAAAAGAAAGAAAGAAACAAGAGGCTGACAGTTACTTTCTCTGATATAGATAAACAAAGAAAAAAAGAAAGAAACAAGAGGCTGACATATATTGTCTCTGATATAGATAAACAAAGAAAGAAAGAAACAAGAGGCTGACAGATACTTTCTCTGATATAGATAAACAAAGAAAAAAAGAAAGAAACAAGAGGTTGACAGACTTTTATCTGATATAGATAAACAAAAAGAAAGAAAGAAACAAGAGGCTGACAGATACTTTCTCTGATATAGATAAAAAAAAAAAAGAAAGAAAGAAACAAGAGGCTGACAGATACTTTCTGATATAGATAAACAAAGAAAGAAAGAAACAAGAGGCTGACAGATACTTTCTCTGATATAGATAAACAAAAAAAAGAAAGAAAGAAACAAGAGGTTGACAGTTACTTTTCTGATATAGATAAACAAAGAAAGAAAGAAACAAGAGGCTGACAGATACTTTGATATGATAAACAAAGATAAACAAAGAAAAAAGAAAGAAACAAGAGGTTGACAGATACTTTTCTCTGATAGATAAACAACGAAAAAAAGAAAGATAAACAAAGAAAAAAGAAAGAAAAAAACAAGAGGCTGACAGATACTTTTCTGATATAGATAAACAAAGAAAAAGAAAGATAAGAAACAAGAAAAAAAGGCTGGATGAAGTTTTTCTGATATAGATAAACAAAAGAAAGAAAGAAAAACAAGAGGTTGACATATATTTTTCTGATAGATAAACAAAGAAAAGAAAGAAACAAGAGGTTGACAGATATATTTTCTCTGATATAGATAAACAAAAAAAAGAAAGAAACAAGAGGCTGACAGATACTTTTCTGATATAGATAAACAAAGAAAAAAAAGAAAGAAACAAGAGGCTGACAGATACTTTCTCTGATATAGATAAACAAAGAAAAAAAGAAAGATAAACAAAGAAAAAGAAAGAAAAAACAAGAGGCTGACAGATATTTTCTGATATAGATAAACAAAAAAAAAAAAAAGAAACAAGAGGTTGACATATACTTTCTGATATAGATAAACAAAGAAAAAAGAAAGAAACAAGAGGCTGACAGATACTTTTCTGATATAGATAAACAAAGAAAAAAAAGAAAGGCTGAAACATTTCTTGATAGGTTGACAGATAGGCTGACAGATCTGATATAGATAAACAAAGAAAAAAGAAAGAAAGAAACAAGAGGCTGACATATACTTTCTCTGATATAAACAAACAAAGAAAAAAAAAGAAAGAAATGAGATACTTTCTGATATAGATAAAGAAATAAACAAAGAAAAAAGAAAAAAAAGAAACAAGAGGCTGAGAGGTTGGCAGATACTTTTTCTGATAATAGATAAACAATGAAAGAAAGAAACAAGAGGCTGACAGATACTTTCTCTGATATAGATAAACAAAAAAAAAGAAAGAAAGAAACAAGAGGCTGACAGTTACTTTCTCTGATATAGATAAACAAAGAAAGAAAGAAACAAGAGGCTGACAGATACTTTCTCTGATATAGATAAACAACGAAAAAAAGAAAGATACAAGAGGTTGACAGTTATTTTCTCTGATATAGATAAAAAAAGAAAGAAAGAAACAAGAGGCTGACAGATACTTTCTCTGATATAGATAAACAAAAAAAAAAAAAGAAAGAGATACAAAAGAGGCTGGCAGTTACTTTCTCTGATATAGATAAACAAAGAAAGAAAGAAACAAGAGGCTGACAGATACTTTCTCTGATATAGATAAACAAAGAAAAAAAGAAAGATACAAGAGGCTGACATATATTGTCTCTGATATAGATAAACAAAGAAAGAAAAAAACTAGAGGCTGACAGATACTTTCTCTGATATAGATAAACAAAGAAAAAAAGAAAGAAAGAAACAAGATACTTTCTTTCCGATATAGATAAACAAAAAAAAAAGAAAAGAAAGAAACAAGAGGCTGACAGTTACTTTTCTGATATATAGATAAACAAAGAAAAAAAAAGAAACAAGAGGCTGACATATATTTCTCTGATATAGATAAAAAAAAAAAAAAGAAAGAAAGAAACAAAGAGGCTGACAGTTACTTTCTCTGATATAGATAAACAAAGAAAAAAAGAAAGAAAGAAACAAGAGACTGACAGATACTTTCTCTGATATAGATAAACAAAGAAAGAAAGAAACAAGAGGCTGACAAATACTTTCTCAGATATAGATAAACAAAGAAAAAAGAAAGAAAGAGGCTGAATACTTTCTTGATATAGATAAACAAAGAAAAAAAGAAAAAAAGATAAGATCTGATAAAATAAAAAAGAAATAAAGAAACAAGACTGACAGATACTTTCTCTCTGATATAGATAAACAAAAAAAAAAAGAAAGAAACAAGAGGCTGGCAGTTACTTTCTCTGATATAGATAAACAAAGAAAGAAAGAAACAAGAGGCTGACAGATACTTTCTGATATAGATAAACAAAGAAAAAAAAAAAGAAAGAAAGAGGAGTCTGACAGATACTTTCTCTGATATAGATAAACAAAGAAAAAAAAGAAAAAAAACAAGAGGTTGACAGATATTTTCTGATATAGATAAACAAAGAAAAAAAGAAAGAAAGAACAAGAGGCTGACAGTTACTTTTCTGATATAGATAAACAATGAAAAAACAAGAGGCTGAGAGTTTTCTCTGATATAGATAAACAAAGAAAAACAAAGAAAAAGAATAGATAAACAAAGAAAAAGAAACAAGAGGCTGACAGATACTTTCTCTGATACTTTTCTGAGGCTGATAGATATTTTCTAGATATAGATAAAAAAAAAAAAAGAAAGAAACAAGAGGCTGACAGTTATATTTCTCTGATATAGATAAACAAAGAAAGAAAGAAACAAGAGGCTGACAGATACTTTCTCTGATATAGATAAAAAAAAAAAAGAAAGAAAACAAGAGAGCTGACATATACTTTCTCTGATATAGATAAACAAAGAAAGAAAGAAAAAAAAGAAAGAAACAGATATTGAGGCTGATATGATATAGATAAAAAAAAAAGAAAGAAACAAGAGGCTGACATATTTCTCTGATATAGATAAACAAAAGAAAAAAAGAAAGAAAGAACAAGAGGTTGACAGATACTTTCTCTGATAAAGAATAAAGAAAGAAAAAAAGAAAGATAAGATAAACAAAGGGGAGGCTGACAGATATTTTCTCTGATATAGATAAACAAAGAAAAAAAAAGAAACAAGAGGCTGACAGATACTTTCTCTGATATAGATAAACAAAGAAAACAAAGAAAGAAAGAAACAAGAGGCTGAGAGTTACTTTCTCTGATATAGATAAACAAAGAAAGAAAGAAACAAGAGGTTGACAGATACTTGATTTCTCTGATATAGATAAAAGAAAGAAAAGAAAGAAAGAAAAAAAAGAGGAGGAGACGAGATATTTTCTCTGATATAGATAAACAAAGAAAAAAAGAAAGAAAGAAACAAGAGGCTGACAGATACTTTCTCTGATATAGATAAACAAAGAAAAAAAGAAAGAAAACAAGAGGCTGACAGATACTTTCTCTGATATAGATAAACAAAAAAAAAAAAGAAAAAAACAAGAGGCTGACATATATATTTTCTCTGATATAGATAAACAAAGAAAGAAAAAAACAAGAGGCTGACAGATACTTTTTCTGATATAGATAAACAATAAAAAAAAAAAAAAAAAGAAACAAGAAGGTTGACAGTTACTTTCTCTGATATAGATAAACAAAGAAAGAAAAAAACAAGAGGCTGACAGATACTTTCTGATATAGATAAACAAAAAAAAAAAAAGAAAGAAACAAAGAGGCTGACATATATTTTCTCTGATATAGATAAACAAAGAAAGAAACAAAGAGGCTGACAGATACTTTTCTGATAAGAAAACAAAAGAAAAAAAAGAAAGAAACAAGAGGTTGGACATAGATACTTTCTCTGATATAGATAAACAAAGAAAAAAGAAAGAAAGAACAAGAGGCTGACAGATACTTTCTCTGATATAGATAAACAAAAAAAAGAAAGAAAAAACAAGAGGCTGAAGATACTTTATATAAAGAAAAAGAAAGAAAAAAAGAAACAAGAGGGCTGACAGATACTTTTTCTGATATAGATAAACAAAAAAAAAAAAAGAAACAAGAGGCTGACATATATATTGTCTCTGATATAGATAAAAAAAGAAAAAGAAAGAAACAAGAGGCTGACAGATACTTTCTCTGATATAGATAAACAAAAAAAAAAAGAAAGAAACAAGAGGTTGACAGTTATTTTCTCTGATATAGATAAAAGAAAAGAAAGAAAGAAACAAGAGGCTGACAGATACTTTCTCTGATATAGATAAACAAAGAAAAAAAAAAAAGAAAGAAACAAGAGACTGACAGATACTTTCTCTGATATAGATAAACAAAGAAAGAAAAAACAAGAGGCTGACAGATACTTCTCTGATATAGATAAACAAAAAAAAAAAGAAAAGAAAGAAACAAGAGGCTGACAGATACTTTCTCTGATATAGATAAACAAAAGAAAAAGAAAGAAACAAGAAAGAAAGAAAGAAACAAAGAAAGAAAAAACAAGAGGCAGATACTTTCTCTGATATAGATAAACAAAGAAAGAAAGAAACAAGAGGCTGACAGTTACTTTCTCTGATATAGATAAACAAAGAAAAAGAAAAAAGAAACAAGAGGCTGACAGATACTTTCTGATATAGATAAACAAAGAAAAAAAGAAAGAAAGAAACAAGAGGCTGACAGATACTTTCTTGATATAGATAAACAAAGAAAGAAAAAAACAAGAGGCTGACAGATATTTCTCTGATATAGATAAACAAAGAAAAAAGAAAGAAAGAAACAAGAGGCTGACAGATATTGTCTGATATGGATAAACAAAGAAAAGAAAGAAAAACAAGAGGCTGACAGATATATTTCTCTGATATAGATAAAAAAGAAAAAAAAGAAAGAAAAAGGCTGACAGATACTTTCTTGAAAGATAAACAAAGAAAGAAAGAACAAGAGGCTGACAGATACTTTCTCTGATATAGATAAACAAAAAAAAAAGAAAAAGAAACAAGAGGCTGACATATATTTTCTGATATAGATAAACAAAAAAAAAAGAAAGAAAGAAACAAGAGGTTGACAGATACTTTTTCTCTGATATAGATAAACAAAGAAAAAAAGAAAGAAAGAACAAGAGGCTGACTGATATAGATAAACTCTGATATAGATAAACAAAGAAAAAGAAAGAAAAAAGAAACAAGAGGCTGACAGATACTTTTTCTGATATAGATAAACAAAGAAAAAGAAACAAGAAAGAAACATAGAAAAAAGAAAAAGAAAGGACAGATACTTTCTCTGATATAGATAAACAAAAAAGAAAGAAACAAGATAAACTGATATAGATAAACAAAAAAAAGAAAGAAAGAAACAAGAGAAATAGATAAACAGGAAAAAAATACTTTCTCTGATATAGATAAACAAAAAACAAAAAGAAAAGAAACAAGAGGCTGACAGATACTTTTCTGATATAGATAAACAAAAAAGAAAAAAAAGAAAGACTTGAATAGATAAACAAAGAAAAAAGAAAAGATACTTTCTCTGACATAGATAAACAAATAAACAAAAAAAAAAGAAAGAAAAAACAAGAGGCTGACAGATACTTTCTCTGATATAGATAAACAAAAAGAAAAAAAGAAAGAACAAGAGGCTGACATATATTTTCTCTGATATAGATAAACAAAGAAAAAAAAGAAAGAAAGAAACAAGAGGCTGACAGATACTTTCTCTGATATAGATAAACAAAGAAAAGAAAAAAAACAAGAGGCTGACAGATATTTCTCTGATATAGAAAAAAAACAAATAGATAAACAAAGAATAAAGAAACAAGAGGCTGACAGATACTTTCTGATATAAAAACAAAAAAAAAAGAAAGAAACAAGAGGCTGACAGTTACTTTCTCTGATATAGATAAACAAAGAAAGAAAAGAAACAAGAGGCTGACAGATACTTTCTCTGATATAGATAAACAAAGAAAAGAAAGAAAGAAACAAGAGGCTGACATATTTTCTCTGATATAGATAAACAAAGAAAAAAAAAAAAAAACAAGAGGCTGACAGATACTTTCTCTGATATAGATAAACAAACAAAAAAAGAAAAAAGAAACAAGAGGCTGACAGATACTTTCTCTGATATAGATAAACAAAGAAAGAAAAGAAAACAAGAGGCTGACAGATATGATATAGATAAACAAAGAAAAAAGAAAAGAAAAAACAAGAGGCTGACAGTTACTTGATATAGATAAACAAAGAAAGAAAGAAACAAGATGGAATATAGATAAACAAGAAAAAAAAACAAGAGGCTGACAGATATTTTCTCTGATATAGATAAACAAAAAAAAGAAAAAAGAGAGGCTGACAGATACTTTCTCTGATATAGATAAACAAAGAAAAAAAAAGAAAGAAAGAAACAAGAGGCTGACAGTTACTTTCTCTGATATAGATAAACAAAAAAAAAAAGAAAAACAAGAGGCTGACAGATACTTTTTCTGATATAGATAAACAAAGAAAAAAAAAAAAAACAAGAGGCTGACATATATTGACAGATACTTTCTCTGATATCTGATAAACAAACAAAGAAAGAAAGAAAGAGGCTGACAGATACTTTCTCTGATATAGATAAACAAAAAAAAAAAAGAAAGAAACAAGAGGCTGACAGATATTTTCTGATATAGATAAAACAAAGAAAGAAAGAAACAAGAGGCTGACAGATACTTTCTCTGATATAGATAAACAAAGAAAAAAAAAAAAACAAGAGGTTGACATATACTTTCTCTGATATAGATAAACAAAGAAAAAAAGAAAGCTAAACAAAAAGAAAAAAGAAAGGCTGACAGTTGATATAGATAAACTGAAAAGAAAGAAATAAACAAAGAAAAAAAAAAGAAAAATATAGATAAACAAAGAAAAAAAGAAACAAGAGGCTGACAGATATTTTCTCTGATATAGATAAACAAAAAAAAAGAAAAAAAAAGAAAGAAACAAGAGGCTGACAGATATTGTCTCTGATATAGATAAACAAAAGAAAGAAAGAAACAAGAGGCTGACAGATACTTTTCTGATATAGATAAACAAAGAAAAAAAGAAAAAAGAAATGGCAGTTACTTTCTGATATAGATAAACAAAGAAAGAAAGAAACAAGAGGCTGACAGATACTTTTCTGATATAGATAAATAAAGAAAAAAAAAAAAAAGAAAGAACAAGAGGCTGACATATATTTTCTCTGATATAGATAAACAAAGAAAGAAAGAAACAAGAGGCTGTCTTTCTCTGATATAGATAAACAAAGAAAAGAAAGAAACAAGAGGCTGACAGATACTTTCTCTGATATACAAAAAAAAAGAAAGAAAGAAACAAGAGGCTGACAGATACTTTCTGATATAGATAAACAAAGAAAAAAAAAGAAAGAGGCTGACAGATATTTTTTCTGATATAGATAAACAAAAAAAAAAAAGAAAGAAACAAGAGGCTGACATATACTTTCTCTGATATAGATAAACAAAAAAAAAAAAAGAAAGAAACAAGAGGCTGACAGTTACTTTTCTCTGATATAGATAAACAAAGAAAAAAAAAAAAAAGAAACAAGAGGCTGACAGATACTTTCTCTGATATAGATAAACAAAGAAAAAAGAAAGAAACAAAGAGGCTGACAGATATTGTCTCTGATATAGATAAACAAAAGAAAAAAAGAAAAAAAAAAACAAAGAGGCTGACAGATACTTTCTCTGATATAGACAAAAAGAAAAAAAGAAAGAAAGAAACAAGAGGCTGACAGATACTTTCTCTGATATAGATAAACAAAAAAAAAAAGAAAGAAAGAAACAAGAGGCTGACACAGTTACTTTCTCTGATATAGATAAACAAAAAAAAAAGAAAGAAACAAGAGGCTGACAGATATTTCTCTGATATAGATAAACAAAGAAAAGAAAGAAACAAGAGGCTGACAGATACTTTCTCTGATATAGATAAAAAAACAAAGAAAAAAAAACAAGAGGCTGACAAACTTTCTCATAGATAAACAAAAAAAAAAGAAAGAAAGAAACAAGAGGCTGACAGTTACTTTTCTGATATAGATAAACAAAGAAAAAAGAAAGAAAAACAAGAGGCTGACAGATACTTTCTCTGATATAGATAAAAAAGAAAAAAGAAAGAAAAGAAACAAGAGGCTGACAGATACTTTCTCTGATAAACAAAAAAAAAAAAGAAAGAAACAAGATAAATTGTCTTTGATATAGATAAAACAAAGAAAGAAAAAACAAGAGGCTGACAGATACTTTCTCTGATATAGATAAACAAAAGATAAAAAGAAAGAAAGAAAAACAAGAGGCTGACAGATACTTTCTGATATAGATGAAACTTTCTTTTGAAAGATAAACAAAGAAAAAAAAACAAGAGGCTGACAGATACTTTCTCTGATATAGATAAACAATGAAAGAAAGAAACATGAGGCTGACATATACTTTCTCTGATATAGATAAACAAAGAAAAAAAGAAAGAAAGAAACAAGAGGCTGACAGTTACTTTCTCTGATATAGATAAACAAAGAAAGAAAGAAACAAGAGGCTGACAGATACTTTCTCTGATATAGATAAACAAAGAAAAAAAGAAAGATACAAGAGGCTGACATATATTGTCTCTGATATAGATAAACAAAGAAAGAAAGAAACAAGAGGCTGACAGATACTTTCTCTGATATAGATAAACAAAAGAAAGAAAGAAACAAGAGGCTGACAGATACTTTCTCTGATATAGATAAACAAAGAAAAAAAGAAAGAAAGAAACAAGAGGCTGACAGTTACTTTCTCTGATATAGATAAACAAAGAAAGAAAGAAACAAGAGGCTGACAGATACTTTCTCTGATATAGATAAACAAAGAAAAAAGAAAGAAAGAAACAAGAGGCTGGCAGTTACTTTCTCTGATATAGATAAACAAAGAAAGAAAGAAACAAGAGGCTGACAGATACTTTCTCTGATATAGATAAACAAAACAAAGAAAAAAAAAAAGAAAGAAAGGAAACAAAGAAAGGCTGACAGTTTTTTCTGATATAGATAAACAAAGAAAAAAGAAAGAAAGAAAGGAGGCTGACAGATACTTTCTCTGATATAGATAAACAAAGAAAAAAAAGAAAGAAACAAGAGGCTGACAGATACTTTTTTCTGATATAGATAAACAAAGAAAAAAAAGAAAGAAATAAGGCTGACAGATACTTTCTCTGATATAGATAAACAATGAAAAAAAGAAAGAAAGAAACAAGATGACAACTTTCTGATAATGAAAAAAAAAAAGAAAGAAAGAAATAAGAGGCTGACATTTAATTTCTCTGATATAGATAAACAAAGAAAGAAAGAAACAAGATGCTGACAGATACTTTCTCTGATATAGATAAACAAAGAATAAAGAAACAAGAGGCTGACAGATATGATATAGATAAACAAGAAAAAAAAAAGAAACAAGAACAAACTTTCTCTGAAAGATAAACAAATAAAAGAAAGAAACAAGAGGCTGACAGATACTTTCTCTGATATAGATAAACAAATAAAAAAAAGAAACAAGAGACTGACAGATACTGACAGTTACTTTCTCTGATATAGATAAACAAAGAAAAAAAAGAAAGAAAGAAACTAGAGGCTGACAGTTATTTTTCTGATATAGATAAACAAAGAAAAAAAAAGAAAGAAACAAGAGGCTGACATATATTGTCTCTGATATAGATAAACAAAGAAAGAAAGAAACAAAGGTTGACAGATACATATAGATAAACAAAGAAAGAAAGAAACAAGAGACGGACAGATACTTTCTCTGATATAGATAAACAAAGAAAAAAAGAAAGAAACAAACAAGAGGCTGACATTTACTTTCTCTGATATAGGCAAACAAAGAAAAAAAGAAAGATACAAGAGGCTGACATATATTGTCTTGGATATAGATAAACAAAGAAAGAAAGAAACAAGAGGCTGACAGATACTTTCTCTGATATAGATGAACAAAGAAAGAAAGTAACAAGAGGCTGACAGATACTTTCTCTGATATAGATAAACAAAGAAAAAAGAAAGAAAGAAACAAGAGGCTGACAGTTACTTTCTCTGATGTAGATAAACCAAGAATGAAAGAAACAAGAGGCTGACAGATACTTTTCTGATATAGATAAACAAAAAAAAAAAAAAGAAAGAAAGAAACAAGAGGCTGACAGTTACTTTCTCTGATATAGATAAACAAAGAAAGAAAGAAACAAGAGGCTGACAGATACTTTCTCTGATATAGATAAACAAAGAAAAAAAGAAAGAAAGAAACAAGAGGCTGACAGTTACTTTCTCTGATATAGATAAACAAAGAAAGAAAGAAACAAGAGGCTGACAGATACTTTCTCTGATATAGATAAACAAAGAAAAAAAAGAAAGACTTTCTCTGAAAGAAACAAGAGGCTGACAGTTACTTTCTCTGATATAGATAAACAAAGAAAGAAAGAAACAAGAGGCTGACAGATACTTTCTCTGATATAGATAAACAAAGAAAAAAAGAAAGAAAGAAACAAGAGGCTGACAGATACTTTCTCTCATATATATAAACAAAGAAAGAAAGAAACAAGAGGCTGCCAGATACTTTCTCTGATATAGATAAACAAAGAAAAAAAGAAAGACAGAAACAAGAGGCTGACAGTTACTTTCTCTGATATAGATAAACAAAGAAAGAAAGAAACAAGAGGCTGACAGATACTTTCTCTGATATAGATAAACAAAGAAAAAAAGAAAGAAAGAAACAAGAGGCTGACAGTTACTTTAAAAGGAGTTAAAAGAAGAGGCGATACAAGAAGAGGAGAAGGAGGAGGAGACAGAAAAAGAGATGGAGGGGAAGAGTAGTTAAAAGAAGGGACGATAAAAGAAGAGGAGGAGGATGAGACAGAGATATAGGTGGTGGGGAAGAGGGGTTAAAAGAAGGGGCAATAAAAGAAGAGGGGGAGGAGGAGTAGGAGACAGAAATAGACGTGGAGGGGAAGAGGAGTTAAAAGAAGAGGCGATAAAAGAAGAGGAGGAGGAGGAGACAGAAAAAGAGATGGAGAGGAAGAGTAGTTAAAAGAAAGGGCGATAAAAGAAGAGGAGGAGGAGGAGACAGAAATAGACGTGGAGGGGAAGAGGAGTTAAAAGAAGAGGCGATAAAAGAAGAGGAGGAGGAGGAGACAGAAATAGACGTGGAGGGGAAGAGGAGTTAAAAGAAGAGGCGATAAAAGAAGAGGAATAGGAGGAGGAGACAGAAATAGAGGTGGAGGGGAAGAGGAGTTAGAAGAAGGAACGATAAAAGAAGAGGGTGAGGAGGAGACAGAAATAGAGGTGGAGGGGAAGAGGAGTTAGAAGAAGGGGCGATAAAAGAAGAGGAGGAGGAGGAGACAGAAATAGACGTGGAGGGGAAGAGGAGTTAAAAGAAGGGGCGATAAAAGAAGAGGAGGAGGAGGAGACAGAAATAGACGTGGAGGGGAAGAGGAGTTAAAAGAAAGGGCGATAAAAGAAGAGGAATAGGAGGAGGAGACAGAAATAGAGGTGGAGGGGAAGAGGAGTTAAAAGAAGAGGCGATAAAAGAAGAGGAGGAGGTGTAGACAGAAATAGACGTGGAGGGGAAGAGGAGTTAAAAGAAGAGGCGATAAAAGAAGAGGAATAGGAGGAGGAGACAGAAATAGACGTGGAGGGGAAGAGGAGTTAGAAGAAGGAACGATAAAAGAAGAGGGTGAGGAGGAGACAGAAATAGAGGTGGAGGGGAAGAGGAGTTAGAAGAAGGGGCGATAAAAGAAGAGGAGGAGGAGGAGACAGAAATAGACGTGGAGGGGAAGAGGAGTTAAAAGAAGAGGCGATAAAAGAAGAGGAGGAGGAGGAGACAGAAAAGAGATGGAGGGGAAGAGTAGTTAAAAAAAAAAGGGCGAAAAAGAAGAGGAGGAGGAGGAGACAGAAATAGACGTGGAGGGGAAGAGGAGTTAAAGAAGAGGCGATAAAAGAAGAGGAGGAGGAGGAGACAGAAAAGAGATGGAGAGGAAGAGGAGTTAAAAAAAAGGGCGATAAAAAGAAGAGGAGGAGGAGGAGACAGAAATAGACGTGGAGGGGAAGAGGAGTTAAAAGAAGGCGATAAAAGAAGAGGAGGAGGAGGAGACAGAAATAGACGTAGAGGGGAAGAGGAGTTAAAAGAAGAGGCGATAAAAGAAGAGGAATAGGAGGAGGAGACAGAAATAGAGGTGGAGGGGAAGAGGAAAAAGAAAAGGCGCGATAAAAAGAAGAGGAGGAGGAGGAGACAGAAATAGAGGTGGAGGGAAGAGGAGTTAAAAGAAGAGTCGATAAAAGAAGAGGAATAGGAGGAGGAGACAGCAATAGAGGTGGAGGGGAAGAGGAGTTAAAAGAAGGGGCGATAAAAGAAGAGGAGGAGACAGAAATAGAGGTTGAGGGGAAGAAGAGTTAAATGAAGGGGAGATAAAAGAAGAGGCGGAAGTGGAGACAGAAAAAGAGGAGAAGGAGCGGAAGACGAGATAAAAGTAAAAGAGGATCAGAGAAGAAGAAGAAGAAAAAAAGATAAAAGAAGAAGAGTAGGAGGAAATAGAAGAAGAACAATAAAAAAAAGGAGATACAAGAAGAAAAAGAGGAGAAGGAGATAATAGAAGTACCAGATGAGGAGAGAGATGAAAAGGAAGAGCAGGAGGAGGATAAGGAGATACAAGAAGAAGAAGAAGAGGAGGAGGAGAAGGAGATACAAGAAGAAAGAGGAGAACAGGAGAAGGAGATACAAAAAGGAGGACGAGGAAGAGGAGGGGAAGGGGAGGAAATAGTAGAAGAGGAGAAGGAAATAGAAGAAAGAAAAATAGGAGGAGGAGGAGGAGAAGGAGGTACTTCATGAAGAAAAAGAGGAGAAGAAGTAGGAATGAAGAAGAAGAAGAAGAAGAAGAAGAAGAAGAAGAAGAAGAAGAAGAAGAAGAAAAAGAAGAGAAATAGATACAAGAAAATGAGTATATAGTAGATGATGATGATGAGGTGATACAAGAAAATGGCGATGAGAAGCAGAAAGGGGGGAATAGAAGAAGAAGAAGAAGAAAAAGGAGGAGGAGAAGAAGAAGAAGAAAAAGGAGGAGGAGGAGGAGAAGAGGAAGAGGAAGAAAAAGGAGGAGGAGGAGGAGAAGAGGAAGAGGAAGAAAGAAGGCAAAAGAAGAAGAAAAAAAAAAAACACTGAAGTATTTTATTTTCTATTTTTAACATTTGTTTATTTTCTTTTTCCCCCAAGTGTTGTTTTCTCACCAAACAGCATGATGGTAGTGAGTTCGATCCCGTCTGAATGCCTCAGATTTTCTTCCTCGCTCACAAATCATGCTAAGCACTTAGAAAATTACTATATCAACCTATTTAACTTTGTGATTGAAATATTTTGAAATCTTTGCCGATATTTCTTTTGACAAGAAGATATTTTTTAAGCTAATCTCATTTAAAACGATAACAAAAACTCATGTCGATATATTTAGTCATAACGGAAGCAAAAGAGCTACAGTCAGAAACATGAGTTGAACTTTGATAAGATCTTGTAAAATGTAATTACTTTGTGTAAATAAGCGGAAGTTATTAAAGAAAAACTTGTCAAGAATTAATGTTTTGGCAAACCCGGCAGTGAACTTACAGTGAAGAAGTTTTTATTTTATTCTCATCGTCTTATCTTGTGTAGCAAGCTAATCTCTTAAATACTTTCCTAAAAAGTAAATATTTTGATGTCCTATCTTTTCCTGTATGTGCCGTTAGTCTTCAGGACTTTAGTGATCATGGCCCTCCAAAACGTCCCTTTAAGCAACCTTTCCCTCTTTGCCAAACTTTCCACCATTCGTTCAGCCATCCATTTACAAATCATAAGGTAGGTGACCTACTGCTTTCCCAGTCTCTATTTTCATGTCTCGATAGTGTCCAAAAGTGTCACCGCGTCCTTGGGGGTGATGGATTATTTTTCAACCCTGTAATTTCTTTCACGCAGGTGAAAACTTGCAAGTATTCTTACTGCTATTTAAGTGTTCAGATGAAATACATTCTCCAGTTCTAACCTTCACGGCTACGCCCATTATTCTAACCTTCACCATGCCACGCCCATTGTAGCGAACGACCCCCATTCCCTGCGTATTCCGTTCATGAGATGTAAGTTCCACCCGTGCAGCTTGTTCCCACGTACAGAAGCTTTGTGGAACCTACTCCCAACAGGATGCTTCTCTACTACCTTAACCTGTTTAAGTCGACGTTCAAATCTCAATAAACCTCTACCTTGAGTTGTTCTTAGGCCTTGTACAATATGAATATCATTGTAAAAAAAAGAAAGAAATGTCGGTTTTGTTTCTATTTTGCTTCAGATTTTTGCGTTGGATTTCAGGTATCGTTTTAGATAGGTACCTCCAAAAACAGTGGTACCAAATTTTAAATGGATTTCAAAAATGAAAAATCTTTCTTAAAGCATTTATTTCCGTTTTGATTCCAATATAATATATCTAATTTAATATTTCCAATAAGCAACACTTTGCTATATTTAAAAACGAATTTTAATTGATTGGAATTATATATATATATATATATATATATATATATATATATATATATATATATATATATATATATATATATATATAGTTTATGAAAAACTAGGTAATCCGTATGGGTAAACCCAAGGAGGATAAAATCCAGAGAGCTCAATGTAAATCCAGAGCAAATAATTTAAATAAAAACAGACCACTTTAAGGTTCCATGTAATAAATTATTTCACCACAGCCCTTTTAAAGGACTGCGGATCATCAGACTTTACTTCCAAAGGTTGAAACAAAAAATGAAAAGAAATTTACACATTTTTGACGGGCCGTATTAAACATATGTAAATTAACGAAGTGAGGAAGTGAGGGGGAGGGAGAAGACATAAGGGAGTTAGATGTAATTTAAAATTTCTATTCTTTTATACTTAAAATTATCTGAGAAGTTCCAGGAGGATTGATATTACATAACAATTCAGCACACTTTTCTTTGTTTCTAGCGACATTTTCCTGTTTCTGGGTGTCTGAAAGAACCTATTTTATGTCGAAGGGCAGAATCTCGTCTTGGGAAACAGCTACCTGACTCCGTTTTTACGAGGTTTACAGAGAATTTTTGCCCGAGACTACGGTCTCGGATACCCAATGATAAAACTCGGTGCCACATCTTACTGCATAGGGCAGTGGGTAAATACTTACTTTTGGAACAAGTCTACAGGAATGGTGCACGCAGTATGAATGATTTTTATAATTCACTAGTAATGGTCAATGCAGAGCAATAAAGAATCCTGGAATACATATAGTGCTCACATACGAAACTTTCAACAGCCGCCATCTTCAACGCATCCCCGGATTGTCATGGTGAGATCGAATACCGTGTAGGATATCAATATTCTCCAGAGTTAGAGGGGCAGAAACATTGAGGCTTTTATCATTCAACAACAGGTGGATTGATCACGTTATCAGGTTGCCCGAAGACCGTCTCTCAAAGTGGATCCTATATGGGCAACCCTCAGAAGGCCAGCGCTCTATTGGAGGACAGACAAAAAAAAAACGTTTAAATTTCTATATTTGTAAACATTGTAGTTGTGAAATAATTCCCTTTGTTTCTAGACCTCTTTTAAGGTTGTAAATCGTTTTTTCTTTGTCCAGCAGAAACATATCTGGTGTACTAAAGTATAAAGAAAAAAGTGCAAGAATGAATGATGCAACAGAATCCTGCTCGTGAGGAGATAATGGTGACTAGAAGGCTAACCCTAGACCGTCTTGACTCTGGAAGATCAAGTTCCACTGTGCTCTAAAATATAAAGAAAAAAAGACAAGAGTTGCTTGTTATATATTATGAGATATTGCGGCGATCTTTTGTACATTTTTATCTACCCTTTGTGAGTTATTTCAAGCCGAAATGTATTTTGGATTGTCAGAATATTTTTCGAGTGAATATTGCATTGAGAAAATTTTTTAAAAGAACAATTTTTCACAGATACAAATCCTACAATTGAACATACAAAAGAGATAATTTTACACATTTCCAAAGGATATTGTTCAACAAATTCGCTTGGAATTCTAAATTGACTCTCTGATTCTTCCTCTCGAACCAATATCCATTACATCACCCACACACCCTGCTCATTTGTAAAAATACACATACATTAGGCAAAGTCACCGGAACTGATAGCACCTCTCTCTGCTTCCAGTCCTATCAATGGACTTTCGCCTTTCATGGAAATTTCTCTTGACTATTTTAATTTGAAAACTGTCTAGAATATAAAGTAAATATTCACCTTTACCCGCACCCATCTCCTATCGTTCCTGAAATGCATCAAGATATACGACGATAAAACGAAACTATAAATTAACAAGAAAACAGAAATTTAAACAAGTGTGTCATTAAAATTTTAAGTCCCCCGGCTAACAATTATGAAATGACATCCTATGCAAATTATTGGGGTTGTTCTGATAAACAACTATTATCATTCCCCCTACCGTGTGGCCTGCCGTCTTGGTTGAAAACAAAGATTCGTATACAAATCAGTGAAAAAACACTTCTGCCCTTTAGGCTACGATCTTTGTAAATGAGGAAATTCGTCTTATGCAAATTTTACTAACTACGCTCGCCTAGCAAAGTCAGGAGATTTTCCCGGGGCAAAAGCAACAGCAGGTTTTGGAAAGGAAAGAGAAGAAAGACAAAAGATTGAATTCTAAATAAAACAAATAAACAAAAAAATTCTCTCTCAATAATTCTTTATTGAACTGTCCACGAAAACAAAGAAACGTTTCTCTCTTAATAATTCCGCTATTGACTAATACGTAATAAAAAGTTTCTCTTTCAATATTTCCTTTATTGATAGTACCTAAAAAAGAAACGTTTTTTTTTTCTCAGCATTTCCTTTATTGAATTGCCCGTAACAAAAGACATATTTCTCTCTCAGTATTTCGTTTATTGAATTGTACGTCAAAAAAGAAAGGTTTCTCTCAATATTTACTCTATTCATACTACCTAAAAAAGAAACGTTTCTCTCTCAATATTTCCTCTACCGAATTGTACGCTGAAAAAGAAACGTTTCTCTCTAAATAATCCTCTATTGAATAGTACGCCAAAGAAGAAACGTTTCTCTCTCAATATTTCAGCTAACGAATTGTACGTCAAAAAAGAAACATTTGTCTCTCTATTTCCTCTATTGATAGTGCCTAAAAAGAAACGTTTCTCTCTCAATATTTCCTCTACCGAATTGTACGCTGAAAAAGAAACGTTTCTCTCTGAATAATCCTCTATTGAATAGTACGCCAAAGAAGAAACGTTTCTCTCTCAATATTTCAGCTAACGAATTGTACGTCAAAAAAGAAACATTTGTCTCTCTATTTCCTCTATTGATAGTGCCTAAAAAGAAACGTTTCTCTCTCAATATTTCCTCTATCGAATTGTACGCCGAAAAAGAAACGTTTCTCTCTCAATATTTCTTTTATGAGAATGTACGAAAAAATAAAAAAAATCATTTTCAATATTTCCTCTATTGATAAGTACCTAAAAAAGAAACGTTTCTCTCTCAATATTTCCTTTATTGATAGTACCTAAAAAAAGAAATGTTTCTCTCCCAGTATTTCCTATATCGATATTACCTAAAAAAAAGAAACGTTTCCCTCTTTAATATTTCCTTTACGTAATTGTATGTAAAGAAGTGTCTCTCAGTATTTCTTCTATGGATTTTACCTAAAAAAGGGCCTCGGTGACGAAGAGATTGCAAATCAGACTCAACATACCGCCGCTCGCTCACATATTCCGGGGTGGAACTCTTACTGAATTCTCTGTAACCATAGGACTGTGCCCCCTGGAGCCACGACTACTCTCACCAAGCCGCTCACTATAGAGCATAAGAAGCCGGTTCAAGCAATGATGTACATGATAGAAATTATTAGGAGGATCTGATAATTATAATTAATTAATTCATCGAGTCTGATAGAAACCTCAACAGAATGCACCAAGGCCCATTGGAACAGTTAGTATGATGTTTGCTTGACAACCTAAATGTCAGGGTTTCAATTCCTTCTAATAATTTCTATTATGTACATCATTTCGGTAGGGGATGCGCACTGCTGATGAGTCCCAAATATAGGACGAAACGGCCGTCCAGTGCTTTCTGCATTCTGTTGAGGTTTCTATCAGACTCGATGAATTAATTCAATATAATCATCAAATCCTCCTAATCACTT